TGTGTGTGTGGGAAGGTTGCGTGCGCTCTACCGTTGAGTGAGTGGCAGAGTGTGAAATTGATTGCATGTTAACAGAGGCTGAAGGACTGTTCGGCGAGCGTGAGTGCAAACTAATGCAATAGTGTGCGTTAGTGCTTGAGTGTGAAAAAGAGTGTGTGTGTGTGAGTATGCAAGTGAGTTCAACGGCGAGGAAGAAGGTGAGAGTGCTGGTAAATTAGAGTGCGTGAGTACTGTTAAAAAGTGTGTGAGTGAGTGTGTGTGAGAGTGCTGTTGAAAGCGTGCGTGCGTGCGTGTGTGGGTGGGTGGGTGCACATCAGACACACAGGCCTCAAAGCATGCGACTGGATTTTTATTCCATCTGAAATTATAATTTGGGTTCATTTGCATGTGAGTAACTAATGCAATAGTCTCGTTGGACTTCCACAGGAGACACTAGCTTGAATTTATTGCAAATTCAAGTTGCATTTGCCTAATTACAGACGAAGGTACAGGTGATACAGCAGCGATACAGACACATTTCCAGTACAGAGGTGTAGACGCGTGGTAAGTTACAGTACAGTGCACATGTTTGGTATTGATATTGATAGAAGTATAGATAAAAATATGGCTACAGGTGTAAACATATGTGGGTTTTGACATGTATGAATGAAAGGGCAGGGATGTATTAACATGCAGGTGTATGAACTGATACACATATAACACGTGAACTCCACATATACAGGTGGAGAGTCAGATGTATAAGTCCCCCGTCTCCTTACTGCAATCTTCATCTAACAGTATAAGTCTAGTTTAAGATATGCTTGAATCTAAGAAGACTTTTTTTTAATGGGAACGAATTGCATTTGTGATTATTGCATTAGATAAGATTTTCAGACCTGATGTTACTTGGTAAATACTGGTTTGGAAACTGGATTGTTGATTTATGGAACCAATTACCTGGTTCCTTTAATCCATCCTTTAATATTAACCAGAAACGTACGACTCCAAGCAACCTATTCGACCCGTCGAGTCCGACGCATAAAGAATCGATTGCATTTGAAACGTTGGTTGCGATATGGTAAACAACGCAATCTATTGATAGCTCTCAATCGACTTGAGAATGGTCCAGGACGGACCGAAACGTCGTCGTCCCTTCACATTCTAGTGTGTGGTAGGGTCATCATACTTTAGCCACGTTATTGTGACTCGTCGCCTGCAACGCAATCTATTGGTTCAGTGGTCGGGTTGGGCCTTGAAGGTCGTGATGAAGCTGATTGATTGATAAAGATTAAGCCACACACAAGGGGTGGCACGGGCATGAATAGCCCGTAAAGTGATGAAGGTAGAAACCACTCGTGTGAGTCGTGACGGGAGACATCTCCCGTCACGCAGGGTGCAGTCGCACCTCCACAGATCTCCAGTATCATCTATTGATACTGGTAATGGCTCAAAAGGGCCACCACTTACGGGCTATTCATGCCCGTGCCACCTTTTGGATGGCTTAATCTTCCTCTCTCTCGCGTGAGTCGTTCAGAGGCGCCGTCTGATTATTGTCTCCCGAGGACATCAAAGCCAAACTCGTGTTGTCAATATTGTCATCCGACATCCACATGCAGGCAGTATCGTAAACAAATACTTTTTTCTTACAAGCTACCCCAAAATACTTTATAGAGCAGGAAAAATATCATGTTGTTGATGCTTCCAAATCTTTTGATGTCATTGAACACAAAAAAATTTGCATGAATTGTTAAAGCACAAGTGACCAGACCACACATCAGGAAAATGAAGAAATAACAACGTTTCGGTGATTGATTGATTGAGGAAGATTAAGTCACCCAAGAGGTGGCACGGGCATGAATAGCCCATATCGAAAGAGTTGTTGTTGTTTTAGATTTAGCTACTCAGAACGAAATGTCCATGTAGCACGGGTTATGGTGAGCCCGTAATTGAGTTCGGTTATTCGCGATAACCTTGTTACTCTGATATTTGGGTTAAAGTTTTAAATGGAGGTGGGGTTTCCTCCTTTTTCCCTGTTTCTTTTTCGCTTCTGTTTTATTCTTGTTTTAATAACATTATCTTGATGGCGGATGTAGGTTCAGAATGTTCACTAGTGAATCCCATTCTTCAACAGCTTTTCTAATCATTGTAGTGGCTGTGGAATGTGCAGCCAGCACATTCCACAGCTGCTATCATTAGCAGCAGCTGCTAATGACAGCATTCGACATGTCGTTGGATTAATGTTGAGTTTGATGCGCAGGGCTTCAGTAGCTTCACATTCCAGTAAGTAGTGCAATAGTGGCGCCTCTGCTTCTGTACCACAGATATGACATTCTTTAACTATTGGGTTTATTACCTCCCAGCAGCACTTGTAACCAAGAAGCGCCAAGCCATTACGACTATACAGCACTGGGAAGGGAGTCAGGATAAGGATTTGGGATGGGACGGGTGAGAAAGGAAGGATGCCCAACCACTTGTAGACGGTCGGGGATTGAACGCTGACCGGTATGACGCGAGACCGTCGCTCCACCGTCCAGCCCAAGTGGTTGGGCATTTGAAAGGAAAGAATAAGAAGGTAAGAACAAGGGGGAAGGTAAGACTAAAAGAAAAGGGGAAAGAGTAAGAAACTTGGGTAAAGTAAAGATAAGAATTAAGGAAAAAAAGGAAGAGGAATAGGATGAGAAAAAGATAAAAATAGGATAAGAAAAAGTTAAAAAAAAGGAAGAAAAATCAATTAAATTTGTCTCTTCCACTCACGTTCCATCACCCTACTTGACAGTGGTTCAGGACGGACCGAAACGTCGTCGTCTCTCCATCTTGTGGTTGTTGTTGTTTAAGATTCACTACCTGGAACAAAAAGTTCCAAGTAGCACGGGCTATGGTGAGCCCGTGCATCTTGTTGTGAGTGGTTTGGTCATCATGTCTTCACCCACGTTATTGCCAATCACATCGGCGGCAGTTAAAGCACAAATTTGCTTGGGAGGGTTGTAGACAATGGCTAATTGCTCGTTAATTCAATCGCCAACATCCCCCTCCCCCCCTTCCTTTGTTGTAAATGAAAAACACATTGAGCTGCCTTTCACTCTGGCCTGCTACAGTCTATTCTGGCCTGCTGCAGTCCGTCCTGGCCTGCTGCCGTCCGTTCTGGCCTGCTGCAGTCCGTCCTGGCCTGCTGCCGGCCACCATGGCCTGCTGCCGGCCACCATGGCCTGCTGCCGGCCACCATGGCCTGCTGCAGTCCGTCCTGGCCTGCTGCCGGCCACCATGGCCTGCTACAGTCTATTCTGGCCTGCTGCAGTCCGTCCTGGCCTGCTGCCGGCCATCATGGCCTGCTGCAGTCCGTCCTGGCCTGCTGCCGGCCACCATGGCCTGCTGCAGTCCGTCCTGGCCTGCTGCCGTCCAGCCGGGCTTCACAAGAGCATTATCCTGCTCAGCATAACCTGGGCTTTCACTTTGAACAACATAGCAGTATTTTTCTGTAATGAAAGCATGTGATTATCATAGCTGCAATCCCAGGAGTTAGCAATTTGTTGATTATACCTTTGAGGCCTCGACGAATTAATACGACACTAACTGTAATGAGTTTATAATCATCTGTGAATTCTGTTTTATTCAAAAAGGCTTATTTACTTGCGGAATCAATATGGGTTTGCAATGCTCTGTATCTGTAAATATGTAAATTTGCAGACAGGAGAAAAGCAGAGGAATGGAGTGAGTTAGTGGACAGTTACAATCAACCGAACAATGGGTATAAATATGATAAGTTTAGATTTAGGAAAGACTTGGGTAAATACTGGTTCAGTAACAGGGTTGTTGATTTGTGGAGCCAATTGCCGCGTAACGTGGTGGAGGTGGGGTCCCTCGATTGTTTCAAGCGCGGGTTGGACAAGTATATGAGTGGGATTGGGTGGTTATAGATAGGAGCTGCCTCGTATGGGCCAATAGGCCTTCTGCAGTTACCTTTGTTCTTATGTTCTTAATCACTTACAATCACCAGTACACTCGGCAGTTACTGCTGGGTGTTTGAGTGATTGACACCCCCCCCAGTATTTGTATTTCATCATTTTAGACATTAGTGATTTTAGAGGGTCAGACTGCATTTCTGACACGCTAACTGTATCTTTGTATTTCTAAATGTGGACTGTATTTCTATTCTTAAGACTATATTCCTATATTTACGATAATGTTTCTATATTTAAGACGTTTCCTTGAACTTTTTTAAAATGTATTCCTACATTTTAAACTGAATTCCTTTTTTTTATTTTACCGTCTTCCATGATCGTCTTGCCTGTGGTGACCTTTCTGATGCATGAACCTTCTTGCTGCAGTTTTGGGTTGTCCTTCTTGCTCGGAAGGTGGTCACTGCACTGCTGGATTTGCATGTTGCAATATTTTTTCAGTTTTGGCTCGTGTGATCCGGGCCTGCAACCCGTTCATTTCCTGCACATATTGATTTCATACATTTCATGCAATTTATGCATATTTTTTACATATTAAAGTGGCTGCTTGTAGGCAGTGGCAGTGGCATACAGTAAACTTTCCTCGTAGCCAGTAGTATAGCTTTAAAGTAAACTTTAGTTGTAGCTGGTAATATAGCAATACTGTAAACCTTGGTTGTAGCCATCAACATACCCGCAAAGTAAACCCTGGGTGTAGCTATTGGCAACACACCTTATGTGTTGTTTTATAAGTAAAAGAACTTAGAACCTATTTACTTATTATAAGTAAAAGAATATGAATTCTAGGAGACTCGAGCAGCCACTTTTCACCGATCTCGTGGTGGTCAACCATGGTAGCCCCCCCCCCCTACTTTTAGTAGGTTAGAAGGGTCAACCTCAATCCGCCCATGTTGGTCACATACCCGTCATCAATTACCCTGGGGAACCTGGGTGAAGCTAGCTCCAAGCGTCAGGCCTCGAGCTTTAGATATAAAACAGACATTCAGTCTGTTTTATAGATATAGATTATATTTGCAAGATACTAAATCAGTGGACCACTTTTGTTTAAAATATAAGAATATTATTATAAAAACCAATTTTTAGCTGAAAAATAGTTTAATAGTATTTACGAAGAGTTCGAGACGGTTAAATTGCTAACAAGAACACGTTTTATTTATATATAGCAAACAGGAATACAAAAAAAAACATTGATTTAGCTTTAAAGCCATAAAAACGGATGAGAGCAAAATATCAATTGGTAACGAAAAAGCCAACAACGAGCCAGATACTCTGGCCGAGGATAGAAAATATGAACACAGTAATGTTGACAAACTCTCCGGGCTCCAGGAGGAGGAAGCAGAGCCCAGCCAGCACGTAGGGAGCCGAGGCGAACAGCCCCACGGCGTTGAAGGGCGGACACACCGCCGCCATCACGAAGGCCTCGAAGGCGTATTTGTGCATCTTGGTGACGATGGCGGCGAGGGTGACCTCCTTGGACTCCGAGATCTTGGTGACGAAGCCCAGCAGCGTGGCGGAGGCTACCGGGGCGAACCAGAGGGCCGGGTGGATGGTGCCCACTCCGCCACACACCAGCACCCGGGAACCTGCGGGGAGGGAGGAAATATATGACGTAGGTGGTGAAGGTGGTGGTGGTGTGCAGGGGGAAGGGGTGGAGTAGAGAGGAAGTATTTGAGAACATGTGATGAATATAGAAACAAGACAGAGAGAGAAAAGAATGCGGAGATGTATGTGCTAGAGTCATCCATTATATATATATATATATATATATATATATATATATATATATATATATATATATATATATATATATATATATTAGTATATTTTGGTAGCAGTCTTTCCTGTAGACATATATTATTAAATATGACCGAAAAAGTAAGATTAATAATTCTAACACGAATTTTCTCAATCTTTCGTACATTTCTTTTCACTGTTGGAGGTAAATCAAAAATCAATTCTCCAAAATTCATTTTTATTTCTAGTCTGACGCGACACGAGCGCGTTTCGTAAAACTTATTACATTTTCAAAGACTTTAGTTCACAAATACACAACTGAATAGAACTTACGCATCTCCGATTTTATATCTACATTTGAGTGAGGTGGAGCCCTGTTGCTTATGCATAAGCAACAGGGCTCCATTAAGGAACATATAATCTCTTCCCACAACCAAACCATCGCCAGAGAAATCCTAGTAAACAACACAGAAATCATCGATAGATACAGCGATAGCAGGCGGCTTGACGTTTGCGAGGCACTACACATCAAGAAGTCAACACCAGCAATCAACAGCCAATTATTGCACAACTATATTCTACCCACCTCAAGACTCCGCTCCAATATAGAAGCATCAAGAAATATGGACCAATAGGCTTTCTACAAACACTTCTATTCAATATCCATTGTTTCGTGTTCTGTCTTGTGTTGATGAAATTAATACCCTATTAATACTCTTGTTCTGTCTTGTGTTGATGAAATGAATACCCTATTAATGCCACATCTTGTTCTGTCTTGTGTTAATGCCACATCACCCATTCCACCTCACTCAAATGTAGATATAAAATCGGAGATGCGTAAGTTCTATTCAGTTGTGTATTTGTGAACTAAAGTCTTTGAAAATGTAATAAGTTTTACGAAACGCGCTCGTGTCGCGTCAGACTAGAAATAAAAATGAATTTTGGAGAATTGATTTTTGATTTACCTCCAACAGTGAAAAGAAATGTACGAAAGATTGAGAAAATTCGTGTTAGAATTATTAATCTTACTTTTTCGGTCATATTTAATAATATATATATATATATATATATATATATATATATATATATATATATATATATATATATATATATATATATATATATATATATATGCTTAGCAATATGCCTAGAAAATGCTTAGCCAATATGGCTATACAGTATATGGAACGGATATGGGTACAATGAGATGAAAAATTAATGAGCTTGGATATGAGAACAATTAATGAGCTGGGATATGAGGACAAGGAACTGGGATATGAAAAAAATAATGAGCTTGGATATGAGGACAAGTAGCTGGGAGCTACTTTCCTATCTTGATATCCCTCCAATGAGTTGTATAGTCGTACTGACATAATTTCTCATCATCACCTCATCATAGGTAATGAAACATAAATGTTTCCATAATGATGAGTCTGCTGGAGCACTAAACTCGTATATCACATCATCATATGTAAATATACGCATACTCACATGCGAGAAGTCATGCATTGAACACCGTATGTACATATCATTATATGCAGCATACATTCACAAAGAAATTTTGTTGCAACTTGAAATAATTTAATAATTTAGCTTTAATCTTTATACGGAACAAGACAGTTGAAATTCAAAGATTTTGATCATACATATATATCACGTTGTTTTGATTCTATTGTGTGCAGAATAAGATATATAATAACTATGTAGATAAAGGTGTTATACTATGTAGATAAAGGTATTATTTCCTGCAGATATTAAGACTATATAAGGTAAATAAAACGGAATATCTCAATGCTCACACACACACATACCTAGGCAGTGATGTGGCGGAGGCTGACTCCATACACAGTTTCAAATGTAGATATGATAGAGCTCGAGAAGCTCTTGAATCTGTACACCAGAAGATTGACAGTTGAGAGGCGGGACCAAAGAGCCGAAGCTCAACCCCCTCCCCCCCTCGCAAGCACAGCTAGGTGAAGTGAGTACACACACACACACACACACACACACACACACACACACACACACACACACACACACACACACACACACACATACACACTCACCAGCCACTAGAAAGTGAAGGGACAACGACGTTTCGGTCCGTCCTGAACCATTCTCTAGTTGATTATCAATCCTGTCATTCAATCGACTATGCTAATCAATCCTATCACAATCGACTTGAGAATGTTTCCCGGACGGACCGAAACACGTCGTCGTCTCTTCATTTTCTAGTGTGTGGTTTGGTCAACATATTTCAGCCACGTTAGTGTGACTCCTCGTCTGCTCCCTCACCAGACTCACCCAGCGTGAGGAAGATAGCCATGGATGCTGCCACGCGTTCCCACGCCCTGTCGCTCAGCACAGACGCCAGACCAGATGAAGCAGACGTCAGACTGAGCACCACACTGGCTGCTAAGGCAGCTTGCCACGAACCTGCGGGGGGGAAACACCATAATCACTATACCTGGAAGAGACACACCATACTTGCCTGCCTCACGGGCTATTCATGCCCATGCCACCTCTTGGGTGACCTTACTTTACCTATCAGTGACTACGCGATAGTGAGGTCTAGCTCACCATACTCATCCGTCCCGTCGAGACATCATATAGTCACTTCCCAGATCACCATACGTGGAGAGGTACCATAGCCACCTTGCCTTCGTAGGCACCATGGTCACTATACACTGTGGTACACCATCGCTGTCATGCTTCTCGAAATACAAGCTGCAGCGCCGATAGTGACACCATAGTCACTATACTTACGGAGACACAGTTGTCACTAACGGTTTGACACCAACAATCAGTGGGATAACGTCCCAACAATCACCTAGAGAGCGTTCCAACAATCACCTGGATAGTGTTCCATCAATCACGTAGTTAGCTTCACAACAATCATCTAGATAGCTTCACAACAATCATCTAGATAGCATTACAACAATCACCTAGATAGCATTACAACAATCACCTAGATAGTTTCTCTTATGCTAGAAATGTTTCTCGCCTTCCCTTCCCTTCCCTTCCCTTCCCTTCCCTTCCCTTCCCTTCCTTCCCTTCCTTCCCCCCTTCCCTTTCAAAATACACCCGAGGTATCTCAGATGTTTTCATGGTACATCAAAATAAAACACGTGAAATATTTTCGAGAGTAAACCATTCAACATTTAAGAGGATCCTCGGCTTGTGTATTTGTCAAGTCTGACTGTCGTCAAATAGAATTTCAAGGCATCTGGCTCTGTCACTATGGTTTTGTCTTTGTTTTGTATGTGTGAGTGTGTGAGTGTGTGTGTGTGTGTGTGTGTGTGTGTGTGTGTGTGTGTGTGTGTGTGTGTGTGTGTGTGTGTGTGTGTGTGTGTGTGTGTGTGTAATTACCTAAGTGTAATTACCTAAGTGTAGTTACAGGATGAGAGCTACGCTCGTGGTGTCCCGTCTTCCCAGCACTCTTTGTCATATAATGCTTTGAAACTACTGACGGTCTTGGCCTCCACCACCTTCTAAAAATATATATAGCCGCAAACCTCTCACCCCTGTAGGATTCGAAACCAGACAGTCAGGGCTCCATGAACCTTAGCGTATCCAGTACTATACCAACTAGACCATACTGACTGTACAAAAACGCTGCCCATTGTTTCTCGCCAGCGCCCGAGATCGAACCCGGGACCACAGGATCACAATTCCAGTGTGCTGTCAGCTCGGCCGACCGGCTCCCTCAAAAATAACAATTGGAAGAGAATATCAGGACAAGGCTCCTTCGAGGATTGAACGCCGACCTGCATGAGGCGAGGCCTCCGTTGTACCAACACTGTAACTTACAAGGTAAGTTAAGTAAGTTACTGTGTGTGTGTGTGTGTGTGCTTTTACCCTCATTTATGTCTGTTTCTTTGTCTCTTTCTGTTTCTATGTCTCTTTCTCTCTATTTCTGTTTGTCGATAATCTCTCTCTCTCTATTTCTGTTTGTCGATAATCTCTCTCTCTCTATTTCTGTTTGTCGATAATCTCTCTCTCTATTTCTGTTTGTCGATAATCTCTCTCTCTCTCTCTCTCTCTCTCTCTCTCTCTCTCTCTCTCTCTCTCTCTCTCTCTCTCTCTCTCTCTCTAGCTCGCGGTTTGATACAGGAACAATGAATTTTTCAAGCAAATAATATTATTTTCGTGCATCAACCCCTAATATCAGTCGTCTAGAAGTCCCAGTGTTCGCGAGGTCTTTCACCTCAGCTCTAAATATACAGTTTTGATCCTATTTTCCATTTCAATGTAAACCTTATTTATCTTCCAAGCGTCACAAGACCTGGGTGAAGTGTGTATGTGCAGAGAGATCACGGCCAGGATTTATCAAGCATTAACTCGGCCATTTACGAAACCTGTACATCTTCCAGCTTCACAACCCAAAGGTTATTGTTTGTTATAAACAACCTCGTAGTGCTACTGAGCTCATGAATTATTTGATCAATGTAAATAAAACATTATCATATTTGCTGATAGATACTGAGGTGCTGACGTCTCCCCCCCCCCTCCTCCTTGTCAGGTGATAGTGACTACATAATCTCAGGGAATAGTGGAGTTATGGTGAAAATATCTCTCTCACCATCATTATAGTGTCCAAGAACTGTTCTTGAACCTCTGGAGTATAGTGACTCACTGTACGACCCACCTGCTGCTCTACCCAACACTCATGATGCCCTATAGTGAAAATAGAGTGACGCGGAGCATCACCATCGCTTCCAGAATCAAGGAATAGTGAGTTACCTAGCGTGCTCGATTGCAGTGTTGCCATCATTATGTAGGACTGAATGCCGAGCTGAGGCACCGACTCCAGCAAGGAGTGGAACCATTTCACTGTTGCTGGTTCGGTGTCGGCCATCGCTTGCTCCCACAACACTTTGGGAGACTTTCGTAACGTTAAGGGCCGCTGTTGTTCCTGCTGCTGCTGTTGCTGCTGCTGCTGCTGCTGCTGTTCCTGCTGCTGCTGTTGTTGTTGCTGCTGTTGTTCATTTTGATGAAGCTGCTGATGTTGCTGCTGCAGTACATTATCATGAAGCTGCTGTTGCTGCTGCTGCTGTTGTTGCTGCTGCTGCTGCTGTTGTTGCTGCTGCTGTTGATTCCGATGTCGATGAAGCTGCTTCCTCTGCTGCCAGCTCTGGGCTCGCCAGGCACGGAAACACCAAGTCACTTTCCGGCTGATTCTGGGAAAAGATTAAACAGAAATGAAAACTATCCCTTTGTTGGGTAAATCACACAGGTTTCATTTTGCATTGAGTTCACTGCCCCTCTGTGGCCTAGCAGTTACTGCCATACAGATCTGCTGGGAAACTGTTCAGTGCCACGAGTGAGGGAGGAGTGTATGTTGTGGGGAGGAAGGGGTGTATATTGTGGGGAGGGAGAGGTTGGTTTTGCAGTAAAGGAGGTGATGTATTCTATGAGGAGGGACGGGAATGTGTTGGGAGGGAAGGCGAAGGAAGAATGTCTAGTTTTAAATGTGTTGAATAATGTATCTTTTGTGAAAAGGAAGGTAGAAGCCTTGTCGACCATATCTAGCATGACGACTGAGAAAAGTCGTTACACGTGAGCGAGTTTGGCGCCAACAGTCATGCTAGGGTTTGCATGTATCCCGGATGTGATAAGGGCAGATGACTGGCTGCTTGCAGCCCGGGAATGACCAATCGGTGTGTGACTTGGGGTCACGTGACAGGCTTGAGGCGCCGGAATGGTGCTCCTCAGCCCGGCTAGACGTCAGTGTGTCACTTGAAGTCAAACGGGGAGGTCATAACTTATGTCAGTTTAGAACAGTGATTCTCAACCCTTGTATCACAGGTAGTACCCTAACGGGCTATTCATGCCCGTGCCACCTCTTGGGTGGCTTAATCTTTATCAATCAACAATCAGGTAGTGCCAGAGTTACAGCCCCGCTCCTGTGCCAGGTAAGTCCACAACCCGTTCTCGCAAATTTAATAAGTCAATATTGACTTATTAAATATGTGCATAGGTGACATACTAACATAATAGATACCCTTAAAAAGATTCATAGAAAACACCGACCTTACCTAACCTTGTTAGTATCTTAAGATAAGCATCTTATTGCTTCGTAATTATAATTATTACCTAACCTATAATAGGTATAGGTTAAGTAATAATTGTAATTACGAAGCAATAAGATGCTTATCTTAAGACACTAACAAGGTTAGGTAAGGTCGGTGTTTTCTATGAATCTTTTTAAGGGTATCTATTATGTTTAGTATATCACCTATGCACGTAGTTAATAAGTCAATATTGACTTTACGAATTTGCGAGAACGGGTTGAGTCCACTACGGGCTCACCATAGCCCGTGCTACTTGCAACTTTTGGTTCCCAGTAGCTGAATCTAAAACAACAACAACAGGTAGTGGGACACAACACAGACATGGAGCACTCAGTAGCACAAGTTGTTGGGTTACTTACAGGTAGTGGGGAGCGACTTGGCCCAGGAACAGTACCCTGGCTAGCCATTTGTTGAGAGGAGCCACGCTGGCGATGTCTGGCCGGGTCAGTCTGGCGAGAGTTATGGCTTAAGTTAGGTTGTAACAAAGTTATCTTGAGGTTATCTTGAGGTTAGGTTAGATTAGGTTGTAACTTAGGTTAGGTTACGCTGTAATTAGGTTAGGTTACGCTGTAATTAGGTTAGGTTAGGTTAGGTTGTAACTAGGTTAAGTTGCAACTAGATTATGTTGCAACTAGGTTAGGTTGTAACTAAGTTCAGATGCAACTAGATTAGGTTAGGTTATAACCATATAGCGCTTAGTGTCACTCTAGCGATCAAAGTAGACGAAAGTCAGCCTACTGACACATATAACTTGAGGTCATTGTGGCGACAACTGTTGACTACGAATTAACTTGTCGGTGACATAGGTTAGGGGTCGGTCTGGTGATATATGTGTTCTTGATACATGTTCTATAAACATGTACTTCTCATTGACACCTGTACTTCTTAACACCTGTACGTGACCTAAATACCTGTCTCTCATTGACATCTGTGTTTCTTCTTGACTCCTGTGCAAGGAAGAAGAGAGAGAGAGAGAGCAGAGAAGAATAGAAGGGAGAGAGAGACAGATAGAGACTGAGAGAGGGGGAAGGATTGCTGTTAATATCTTGGTAAATCTCTTCACTGAGCGGCATCAGTCGCTGGATCAGCTGTGCAGATGCACTGAACATTGTCTATGCCTTTGATCGGATATAGCACTCTGGATTATTAGCAAAGCTACAAGCAAAATGCATCTCAGGCCCCATTTTACAGCTAATAAAGAACTACCTTCAAGAACGGATATCAAGAGAAGTCCTCAATGGGATAGAATCTGAAAGCCATTCAATTGGTGCCAGCGTACCACAGGGTAGTGTGCTTGGTCCTTTCCTGTGTAATACCTCTTTTAATGATCTGTTACACCTCATTCCTGAAGGTCAAGCCTATGCTGATGATTGGATTCTAACCTCTATATGTGGAAAATAAAAAATACCGAGTGATATTAAGGTCATTAATCACAAACTTTCAGGAATATCTTCTATGAATAATGGCGGTCACATTTGCAACTGAGGAATCACAGTTGACGTAACAAAAAAAACATGATACTGTAAACCGAACGAGCATAAAATGTGTGGCAAAAGCCTAGTGGTTAGTGATAAAGTCGAAATATTGGGAATGATATTTGACGCTTCAGTGACCATGAAAAGGCACGTGCTCAGCCTAGCAAGCAAGGCAGCCAAGAGATTTACAGTCTTATGTTGAAGTTCAGACCTTCACGACAGCAGGGGTTGCAAGCCCTTACATGATGTATCTTGAGTCTGCACTGTTATCCTAGAATACCAGCCCCTCTCTTCCCCTCCCCATCATTCATCAGAATTTTGGACAACGTTGAGAAACGTGCAAGAAGGCTGTCTCTAGTCTTAATGCATTCTGGTTGCACTGGTCAGAACATCAGTGCCAACAGCTGCAAGACCTGGCCCATCTTCACTGACAGCCACAAGTAGGCACCCATAACACAAGGCGCTCAGCCATCAACCATTTATTGGAAATGCTTTCTCAAGAATCTCTCTCCATCAGCGATCACTCATTCCTAGGCTGACTCAAGTTAGCTTAATAAGATAGCAATATACATCCCAAGTGAACTGAGTAGCTCTGCCCACCAACCATTTGGGCTGGACGGTAGAGCGATGGTCTCGCTTCATGCAGGTCGGCGTTCAATCCCCGACTGTCCAAGAAGGTTGGGCACCATTCCTTTCTCCCGTTCCATCCCAAATCCATATCCTGACCCCTTCCCAGTGCTATATAGTCGTAATGGCTTGGCGTTTTCCCCCTGAAAATTCCCCTTCCCCCTCTCTTATTACATACACATCCTTCAAGGGGCTCACAACTCACATCTGGAACTTATTCGCTCAACACGTTAATACAGATGAAATCAAGCCAAGTGAGCATATGAAAGCTCTGCTACACCGGTGGTTCCTGGTTTAACCTGTTCCTTGTATGACAGTTACTGAGCATTAAAGCTAGTTTATTCCTAATGGATTCAAATCATAGTCTCGTCAAGTAACTGAGTCTCTCGGGGCAGGCTTCAGATGGGCAGATGTGAGTTAACAGCTCCTGCTTGTAGTTTCATGAGGAATATCCCCTGACATTTCTAACGGACCCTAGTCTTATTGAAAAGAGAGAGAGAGAGAGAGAGAGAGAGAGAGAGAGAGAGAGAGAGACAGAGAGAGAGAGAGACAGACAGACAGACAGACAGACAGACAGACAGACAGACAGACAGACAGACAGACAGACAGACAGACAGACAGACAGACAGACAGGTAGACAGACAGAGAAATTCGTAGATGCTGTTATTGGCGGCAATTTCCGGACATTGCTCACTGATGATGTATATCTTAGTCTTATCTCATATTTATCTCCTCAGCCCACCAAGGTGCCAGAATCTCGAAGTACCAGGGGTACAGGGATACCCTGAGGATACTGGGTACTGGAGTACCAGGGTACATGGTGTCAGGGTCTTGTAATACCAGGGTACCATATTACCGGAGGTATAAAGGTACCAAGGTACTACGGACCCAGGGCACCACGGTACCTGCTTACCACTAGCTTCCTATTAATAATATTTAATATTGTGATTATATATAAATACCAAAGTGTACCCAGCTTCTCGGTGTATATATACAGGTGATTGAGTCCTGATTATGTTGAGGTCCAAAGTATACCTGCTGATTGGTCAGTAAGGAATTGTGGTAAACCTTAATCACCTTCCAGAAACTGGCAGGCCTTAAACCCAACACAAGAACTACACAGACTCTCACAACATGAGAGAACTAATGTATACTCACTGCTCGTAGGCGTAAGCATTGATAATCAAGCTAGGAAGGATGAGGAATGACACCGTCAGACCACACCACCAATTCTGGCCCGTAGAGCAGAAATCCACAGCCACTATCACCGTGGTCAACTGGTCGACCACGTACATGATCAAGTACCACGTACAGGGCATGAAGATGGTCAGCATCCTCCACGCCATCACCATATCAGACACCTGGGCATCGGTGTACCGGAATAAGTGCGCGTCTCGAGTTTGCGTCGAGGCGTCGAACCCCGTGGAGCGAGTCTCAATGATGATGTAGTCTGATATAGCCGAGGACACCGAAGTACTCATGTCACTGGAGGTCTCCGTCTTCAGGATTTTCCAGGAACTGAGGGTACGAGGGACTTCATCCGTCTGAGCGGCGACGTCCCTGAAGGACGAGATGGTCGTCATGTACAGAGTCTCAGGGTCCTGCCTCGACGTTGCGCCGAGCGTCTGGCGCCATCCTCCTCCCGCGAAGATTCCCGCGCTATTTGCAGTATCCCAAGGTCCGGCCTCGGCGTCGTACCAAGCATACTCGTCGCCAGACTGGACTCTGGAGTGACATGCGTCAGGTTTGTAACCTTCGTTTGTCGTGCCTTTGAGGGCCATGCGAGTTGAATTAGAATTTCTTCAGTTGGTTGAATAAATATTTAAATTATGATCTGCTGTAATCCCAAAACATCGTTCAGATCTTTTCTTGGACATGAAATCATAAACTGTTCTCATAGGCACAATTGTGGTGTTGGTAAAATAAAAAATTAACACTACGTCCATCTTCGATGCTGCAAGAATCCCAAGATAATGTTTCCTATCATGCTATTATCGGAAGACGTCACCGCAACCAACGCTAGACACTATATATAAATATTTAACGCAGAGACTGGTCTTCCTCAGTGCCCACTGCCTGAGTGCACTTGTCAACCAGTATGTACTTAATATCACTCGAATCCGTTTAACTTTACTGCACTTAGTTGCCATCTTAGGAAGTGTAGCACCATGAACATGAATTCCAGGAACAACTGAGGAGGAAGATCCATTGTCCTTCAAGACTCAGGTTCATGTATGCATCATGTTCAGGACGAGGCGGTGAGACGTATGGCAAGAGAACTTCCTTCGACACACAGAAGGTTCAGGCTTGTCTAGAGGCACTATAAATCCCAATAAACTGTCCATTGCTGGTCTACGCCGGGCCAAGCAATACTGCTACAGTGAGTCTGAGAGGAGTGCTATGTATTGCTCCTGGTTCAGGCTAGATCAAGGCCTTAGACTGCCCAGAAAAAACTCACTGCTACAATATACCTTTGTGTCATTTATTAAACGAAACACAGAACGATACACAGGCGAGGAAGTGTTCCAGATTCCAACTAACACTAATTATAGCCGTAGTTACAGGGTAGCTACAGGCTCCGAGCGCCAGTAAGTCGTCGCCACCTCACTTCTCAACCACCACTGTCCGCTGCAAGGGTGTAGAGGAGGGGGGTTGGGGTATGGACGATGCCCTCCGCAATTACTGATAACACATTGATAAAGGGCGGAAAGTATCTGTGGACCTCTTTACTGATAAAGTTATCATGTTATCATTTGTTAAGGTGCTTGTTGCTACTGCTTCTTTCTCCCTTTTGTTGACCGAAAAGTTCTATTGTAGGGATATTTTCTTTTTATTATATTTTCCTCACATAAATATTGTTTGAGTATAAAATAATTCAGAATGTAAAAAATCTCTCTCTCTCTCTCTCTCTCTCTCTCTCTCTCTCTCTCTCTCTCTCTCTCTCTCTCTCTCTCTCTCTCTCTCTCTCTCTCTCTCTCTCTCTCTCTCTCTCTCTCTCTCTCACACACACACACACACATATATATATATATATATATATATATATATATATATATATATATATATATATGTCGTACCTAGTAGCCAGAACTCACTTCTCAGCCTACTATTCAAGGCCCGATTTGCCTAATAAGCCAAGTTTTCCTGAATTAATATATTTACTATAATTTTTTTCTTATGAAATGATAAAGCAACCCTTTTCTCTATGTATGAGGTCAATTTTTTTTTATTGGAGTTAAAATTAACGTAGATATATGACCGAACCTAACCAACCCTACCTAACCTAACCTAACCTATATTTATAGGTAAAGTTAGGTTAGGTAGCCAAAAAAAGCTAGGTTAGGTTAGGTTAGGTAGGTTAGGTAGACGAAAAAACATTAATTCATGAAAACTTGGCTTATTAGGCAAATCGGGCCTTGAATAGTAGGCTGAGAAGTGCGTTCTGGCTATTAGGTACGACATATATATATATATATATATATATATATATATATATATATATATATATATTATATATATATATATATATATATATATATATATATATATATAAATATATATATATATATATATATATATATACTAGTAAAGCATCATATTTCATCCAGAATTCGAAAAAAATACGGCCTTAAATTTATCTAATTTAAAAATGTAAGAAAAAGGAGGACAAATTAAGAAATAATTTTTCTTTTCTTTTTATTAAACAGTTAAAAACGTTTTCTTAGTGTAATTAAGCTATAATATATTAGTAATTCGTTGTTTTGTGAAGCCCAGATAAATGTTAGCGTCGTCATAGATGCACAAGATCAGTTAGGAGTTAGAGGTTCATGAGACGCAGGTTCGTAAGCAACTGAGGAATTTACAGTCACTTTGAGCTACAGCTTCGAATACAGCTGTAGCCGCAGGTACACATGTCGATGAGAGAGAGAGAGAGAGAGAGAGAGAGAGAGAGAGAGCATGAGACCTCAATGAAAGGCAACATCGTACACACTGTCAGCGCTCCCACGGAGAGAACTTCTTTTCGAGTATCTCGCTACTGTTCCATGGTTGTCGCAGCCTTCCGTTCCGCCCTCTTCCTCTCCAAGCTTACTGCTGCTTTCCTCTTTTCCACGGAGGCCGTGATCAGTCCTTCTGATGTCATCATCGCCTTCATTTATTGCTCGGTTGAAGTACCCTCTTTCTACTTCACTGTTCGCACAAGTAGCTCCTAGTTCGGTATATTGGCTGTAGACATTATTTGTTTCATGTTCGCCTTGGCAACTTTTAGTTCCTTGACCAGAGTTAGCTCCCAGACCTTCTCCTCCGGAGTAGTGCTTCTGTCTGAGGGGATGTCTTGAGTCTTGGGAAGTTACCCCTCTTGGAGAATCTGCTGGATGAGAAAGATATTGTGAAGATGGTAGTAAGGGGAGAGCAGAGAGGGGAAGACAGAAAGGGAATGGAGGATGAGGAAGGAACGGCTATAGCAGAAACCTCAATGTAGAAGCCTCCAGTGTAGAAGCTCCAGTGTAGAAGCCCCAATGACAAACCCCCTGTGTAGAAACCCCAGTCTACAACCCCCAGTCTACAAGCTCCACTTAAATCCCAAACTTATACTAGAGGAATCTAAAGATTAACTACAGGACAGGTCCCAGAACTCATTGAGTACAAGGGAGAGCTGAAGGAATTAGATCTCACTACGCTTGAAGAGAGAAGGATAAAATGCAACTTCGAGAATATAAGGCAGAGCGTGAAAAGGCGGAGGACCAGAGAACATGGATGAAAAGCAGAAATTTAGATAACCGTAAGAATGTCTCGACACACTTCTTCACTACTCTAACACTAAAGAAGTAGAGTGAGCAAGGGTGTGAGTTGAAGCTAACTCTATCCATATTTTCAAAAAGAGATACGCTAACTGGGACTTATATAGTGAGCCATTGTAATAGACCGGCTACAGAAAGGCAAGGCCCAGGAGCTGAACCTCGCCCTGCAAGTACTTATATGTGAACTCTCTTACATGCCCTCACACACTTGAAGGAATACAATGCTATTATTCGAAATTGCAGACATAAATAAGCATTGAGATACATGTTGGTGGCGGGTTCGAGGCCAGAAGGTGTTGTTTATATTAAGTGTTTCACGACGTTGCTCAACTCACCGGTGAGGCGGTGTTGCTGGGTCTTTGGTGTGTTTCCGCCGAAATAGCAGACATAGACGACGAGAGTTATTGTTGTGAGGGCCAGGAGGACACACAGCACTCCTAGTGCCGTGATGGTGCTGCTGCTGCTGACGCTGCTGACGCTGCTGTTGCTGGTGCGGCTACTGCTGACGATCGTGCTGCTACTGCTAACGCTGCTGCTGCTACTGCTGTTGATGCTGCTACTGCTGACGCTGCTGCTGCTACTGCTGTTGATGCTGCTGCTGACGCTGCTGCTGCTACTGCTGTTGGTGCTGCTGCTGACGCTGGTGCTGCTTGCGGTTGTGGCTATAAGCAGTGAGTTCCCCCCACTGGTGGTGGTGGTGGTGGGGCACAGCGCCGCCGGTGATGGTGGTAGTGGTGGTAGAGCTGTACCAACACCAAGACAACATACCATATAACACACCATAATTATCCAGGCTGTAATTCCATTAATAACATCCAGAATAGGAAGGCGAACAAAAGAACCCAATACCTGTATAAGTATTATTAAACCGAATTTTCGGATAAACCTCCATCCTTTACCTAGGTGGTGTAAACACTGATAGGGATGCAGGTTCATCCGAAAATAGTAAACTAGTAAATAGTCGGTTTAATAGTAAACTTACACAAGTATCGGGTCCTTTCTTCACCTTCAAACACAATGGAATTGTAGTAAACTTCTCCAATGCAGAATGTGTTTTAATTATTAATTGATTGCATGCAATTGTGAGGAAATAAACACATTCATATATTAATAAACACATCAATGGCGACATGTGTGAACACTCGACCCTTTTTTCTCTCTCTCGCTAATACGTCGCATTTCTTTACGGAATCGACCAATCCGTTAACTAATGCGACGTACTTGTAAAAATGGAAGAATCGTATTATTGACGTTGTCTGTGAATCGGCCTCGATAGGTTAGGTGGGTTGGTTGGGTTTGTACGGTTCTGGTTAGGCAAAACAATTGCATTTTTTTTACGAAGGGAGAAATTGAGAGAAGGAGCTCCGGTCCCACAGGGGTCAGTCCACAGGGGTCAGTCCCACAGGGGTCAGTACTATGTCCCACCAAGTTATTTACAAAGCGTTTTTCATATACCAGTAAGAGACAATTTCATAGACGACGATAAGGAACATCAGAAGGACTATGTTGAAGGCATAGATGTGATACATAGACTAGGAGGAGACCCACCTACTGCAGGAGAGACTCACCTACTGCAGGAGAGACTCACCTACTGCAGGAGAGACCCACCTACTGCAGGAGAGACTCACCTACTGCAGGAGAGACTCACCTACTGCAGGAGAGACCCACCTACTGCAGGAGAGACCCACCCTCCTACTGCCGGAGACCCACTTACTGCAGGAGTAGGAACAGAAGACCCAGTGCACAGGCTCCCGGCTCTTGACGGCCACATGGGCAAGTCTTCCAGGCTTGAGTTCCTCGTTGATACCCGCTACAGGACCCATCACCACCGTCGCTGAGTTCTTCTACTCCAAGGGACGAAGTTGGGAAATGGTGCAAGAGAAAGGTCAAAAGAAATGGTGTTATGTACATGAAGAAAAACAAAAGTAAGAATTGTTATTACTGTAATTATCTGGGTTTCTGTCATTATTTTTATGATCATATTATTTTTATTATTATTATTATTATTATTATTATTAGTACACATATTATTTTCCAGGTTGTCTGTGGTAATGCGGATTAATCGTTCACCTTTAAATTACGGTAAAATTATTATTTTTCCTATATGCTATTGAATACCATACGTGTCATTAGTTATTTATTTTAAGATGTTTAAATTAAAAATTAACTATAGCAGGTCTATTTTGACCATAATAAACCAAAATTATTTCATTATTACCTAAATTAAATGATATCAAATCAGTGATTTACATAACCTGCACACACATATAACATCTTTCATATTACCAACAAAGTATCACAACACGCAAAGCAAAGTTCACTTTATAACTGGTCTCTTAAATGAGGCAAATGAAATGTTTGCAACTTTAACTGAAACACACAAAGGACAATTATAACATTGAGATATGGATACCAGAATTCAATCTTTTGAGATGTGATAGGAAACACAGGCTACAGGGTGGGGCTCAGCCTGAACATTAAGGATACACTCATCTGCATTGAGTTGCTAAACTCCACGAATGATATGGTGGAAGTTCTGATAATCAAAATAGAGATCCTAAGTGTGGTTATTGTCCTTGTATATAAGTCACCAGATGCAAATCCTAGGCAGTTCAAAGACCAATTTATGAAAATAGAATACAGCTTAGAAACCTCACAAACCCAGCCCAGAACATCATCTTGCCTGGTGACTTCAACCTACGGTATCTAAAATGGAAGGCTGTGTCAAATATAGTTATACCAGAGGGAGAGACTCCCAGGAAGCAATCTCTATAAACAGTCACACACAAATGACCTCTTGCAGATGTGTGACAGATTTGCCTTAAGCCAGCAAATAGTAGAACCAACTAGAAAATGAAAAGCCCTCGACCTTATGATGACCAAACCGCTGAAAGTGAAGAAATGACGACGTTTCGGACCAGTATCAAGTCGTGTAACAGAAGAGAGGATTTGTTGTTGTTGTTTTAGATTTAGCTACTTAGAATGAAATGTCCATGTAGCACGGGCTATGGTGAGCCCGTAAAGAAGAGAGGAAGGTACAGGCAAATATAGAAGATAAGAGAGTGAGGAGAGAGGTCAGTAGCAGGTAAAATAAAGGTCAAAATAGTATGAATTTCATCCCATTCTGACCTTATTGTAGTGGAAGGTTACTGTAAAAGCCATTATGTGGCTTTAACCGTAGCAGCATCAATTACACCATTAACTCAGGCCTCTGAGTTGGTCAGCTTACCGGCTGGACTATATCGATGATGTGCCAGTCGTGACCTCCAGCAATGGTGAAGTATTTATAAAACGTCCACCCGTGACCATTGACGAAGAAGGCGACGTAGGCGGCTGCGGAGGGCGCCTGGGTCGACACCAGCAGCCGGGAGATTGCCTGACCGAACGGCACGTTGAAGATGATAGGATGCCACTCTGACGTCCGCTCTGGTAGTACCGGGAGAGGTAGAAGCAGTTATTGTTAGGTAATGGCCAGGGAATGATGGCATGTTGATGTGTGCGTGTGTATGTACTATCTGTGTCTGCAAGATCCTGCATCATGGAGATGTGTGTGTGTGTGTTAGTTTAGTTCATTTATTATGCACCCCATACCCATCTTGAGGGCGGTAGTGGAAAGGGTTACAGAGGCACATAATGGGCTCAGGGACTGAACCCCACAGTTCATTTAGCTAAGCAAGTTACAATCTTGATGAGCTAGTTACACAATTCAATACACAACGTTACATCAACAATGGGCTCGAGACCGAACACAAGTACAGTTTCTAAATTAAGCAACTGGCATATAAGGTGAGCTAGTGTCACAATTGATATGTTTGTCCTGAACCCCCCCTCCCCCCCCCTACCAGTGGGAAGCGGTGGATAGGTAACAATCAATTTTTCACTCAGTTACTACCTACAGTTAATAAACTGGGAATATTTGGCCAAGACTTCTGTCAGCAGATCATTTTGAATGAAATGTTTACACATCTCTTGAGCATTTGTTATTGAATTTTCTCTGAATTCACGTATCTTTTCGCACTCCATCACATAGTGGCATTTACTCCTGAGCTATGAGGAAATATTGAGAGAACTGGACTTTACCACACTGGAGCAAAAGAGAGATTGGAGGGACATGTTAAGGATTGACAAAGTAGAGAAAGCAGCGTTGTTCAAAGCTAGGAACAGAGATCGAAATGTCACAAGGGATCGAAGTGGAAACTAGCACAAGGGATCGAAGTGGAAACTAGCACAAGGGATCGAAGTGGAAACTAGCACAAGGGATCGAAGTGGAAACTGGAAATTCAAATGAGTCATAGAAACATCAGAAAGAACTTTTCAGTGTTAGAGCTGTCAATAAATGGAATAAGTTAGATGTACATGTTGAAGCTCAATTGGATTCAAAGTTGTAAATGTAAATACAATAAAAGCGTGAGAAATGAGTCATTGCCTTAATCTAAGAACGTTCGGAAGGCGGGGCTTCGAGCCTAGCTCGATCCTGTAGATAGATTTAGGTGAACACACACACACACACACACACACACACACACACACACACACACACACACACACACACACACACACACACACACACACACACACACACACACACACACACACACACACACACACACACACACACACACACACACACACATACACACACACACACACACACACACACACACACACACACACACACACACACACACACACACACACACACACACACACACACACACACACACACACACACACACACACACACACACACACGAGAGGTGTAGGAGAAACATGGATGTTTGACGTACTAACCTGCCCTGGTGAGAGCTACAAACACCACCACCACCACCACGACCGTCGACAACCTCATCTCAGTGTATAGAGCCACCTTCAACGTCCCGCCAGCCACTCACAACGTCCCCCTGCCCCCCCCCCCCTCTTCCCCCCTAAGTCGTCCTTCACTCTTGGCTTGCCACACTTCAGAAATCACAGTTCCTCCAGTACACCTGGACTCTTCGACGGCTTGAAGTTCCTCATATTTCAGCGTTCCATAATACCACGAACCAGTCCACATATCCCACACGAAGCCACGTGGTTTTCGATTAAGTTGAGCCAAAAGACGACGTGTAATTTCAAGTATGTTGCTGTCACACTTCTCAGTAACCCACGGAATGCCACATGTGATTATAAGCGCCTTTTCTCGTAAGAAAAATACGTACACACGTGTACGTATTTAGTGTGAAGTACACATGCGTTTGTGTACTTTTCTTTCCTCGACTCGCGAGCTGTTTACTAATTCTGGCTCAGTACTCGACTGATCTTTGACCAACCTATGTATTGTGTATATTACAACATCCTGTCCTCACGCTTAGACAAATTCCTGTGAAGTGACAGGAGTAAGAGCGTCACTCGGGCTTGCCAGCTCACAGGACCGGAGGTGAGGAGGCCCTGATATCCTGCTGTGACTCCTACCCTGGCACTCTGAGTCACTGCCACCCTCAGTTAGCCCCTGGCACCCCCCAGGCACTAGGCAACCCACAACAGTTGGCTGACTAACGTGTAACTGTTTACTAGAAGGTGAACAGAGGTATTGGAGGGAATTATCAGGGGAAAGCACCGAGCTATTACGACTATATAGCACTAGGAAGGGGTCAGGATAAGGATTTGGGATGGGACGCGGGGAAAGGAATGGTGCCCAGCCACTTAGACGCTCGGGGATTGAACACGGACCTGCATGAAGCGAGACCGTCGCTCTACCGTCCAGCCCAAGTGGTTGGATCACAAAGGTATCGGATGAAAAAAATCGTGAACAAACGTTTCTGTCTCGCTCGAGGATCGAACCCGGGATCGGAATTTGTTGGCCGAGGATGTAGATCAATTTCCTACCTTTTGTTTAGTGGATCATCCTTGACGAGGGAAGTTGTGGAGAGAATAAGTTTGAGGAAGAAATCTTGTAAATTTTGTATACACCGCACTGAGACGGGTTCCTTAAATTGGCTTGTCGAGTTAAATTGGCTTGTGGATAAGACAATGATTAGGAAGATAAAGTTACTGATTAGTGCTCAGTGATAGATCTAATTTCTGAGTGGCATAGTGGTAATTACCCCTTGAGTACCTAGGTGTTATTATTATTATTATTATTATTATTATTAACATCTTTATTTACAAATATTAATTACAATTTTGCCTAATCTTAATTCAATTAAGTCTTATTAGAGTGAGGATAATGCTGGTATTCACTGTTACACAGGACAGAGGGTTATACACAAGACAATAGGTCTAAAGTGTAGTGCGACCTTGCTTCAAGCAGGTCGGCGTTCAATCCCCGACCGTCCACAAGTGGTTGGGCACCATTCCTTCCCCCCATCCCATCCCAAATCCTTATCCTGATCTCTTCCAAGTGCTATATAGTCGTAATGGCTTTGCGCTTTCCCTTGATAATTCAATTCAATGTACAAGTATGTAAATGCAACTTTCTATTGTACACTGCCACTCAAGGGCAGGGAGGGGTTCATAAGAGATGCAGCTTCAAAATAATATAAATAAAATTGTTCTTCATTCTTTAAAATGAACAAGAAAATTGTTCAGGATGAATTGTTGAGATGTTGTTCAGTACACCAGATTCAATGAAAGTCAGTAAAAGATCTTAGACCTGGTTTATTGTACCACCTAGATGTTGTGACCCACTAAACATGTACATATTTTCTTGATTATATATATATATATATACATATTTTAGATAATATCATTTCATTCACCTGGAGACTTGGAACCTCGAACCGCCGACCATATATATATCACTGAAATAGTCAGCCGATCTACCTACGGTGCCACCACCAACACCTCTTAAAAGCAAGTATTCCATTGGCCCCTATCTGCTGCCCTATCATTATTTATAGTGTATGATGCACAGCCTCCGTAAAGTCTCTCCTGGCGGATATTTTCCCACTTTTCGCGCGCAAGGGAGTCCCACACTCCCCCCTTGAAGTTAGAGTCCCTTGAAGTTAGAGCCCCTTGAAGTTAGAGCCAGGGGAAGGAGGGTGGTGCTTCACTCTAACAACCTCCCTGTTTTTAGAGCCTGGTGAAGGGCTCTAAGATCAAGAACACTGAACACTAGACCAGGCTGAAGGCTGCAGATGTAACAGTCCAATCAAGGCAAAGAGACCTCAACAATATTGTCAAAGCACTGACCAAGGTGTCTTCATCACAGGAAAGAACACCACAGCCACATAGAAATAATGTTTTCAGTGTCAGTGTTAACAAGTTGAATGCATGAGGCAGTGATGTGGTGGTGGCAGACCCCAGACACAGTTTGAAATGTAGATATGATAAGAGCCCAAATGGTTGAGGAACCTGTACACCAGTTGACAGTTGAGAGGCGGGACCAAAGAGCCGAAGCTCAACCCCCTCAAGGTGAGTGTGCAACTAGGTGAAGCAAGATGAGAACGCTTCAATCTTGCAAAGTCCAAATGAAGAAATTGCACCGTGCAATTCAAATTCTTTTTTCAAATTTGATTCGGAATTCAAAATTCTTTCGGAATTCAAATTCCGTGCAATTCTTCTCTGAGGAAGCAGCTCCTTCCTCAGAGACTAGCAACGTCCGGAATAGTTTTCTTTATGCAGAAACAACTGAGATCTATTTCAAAATGTGGAAAAACCTTGGTGAGTGGTCGTCATCGCGCTCCCGGATGTGTTGAGCTTGTGACCGGAGTGGGACGCGTCACAAGGGCTTGTTCACACACGCTTTCTCTCCACCTTTTTCCAGGATGACTTCGCTCTGACACTTCTTATGAACTTCCTACGTGTGTGTGTGTGTGTGTGTGTGTGTGTGTGTGTGTGTGTGTGTGTGTGTGTGTGTGTGTGTGTGTGTGTGTGTGTGTGTGTGTGTGTGTGTGTGTGTGTGTGTTTGCTTTTTATTGAATATCACCGAAAGGGTTAGATCAATGATTCAGGCATGACTCTTCTCTATATGTCTAATAGTTGACCAGACCACACATTAGAAGGTGAAGGGACGACGACGTTTCGGTCCGTCCTGGACCATTCTCAAGTCGATTGTGAGAATGGCTCACAATCGACTTGTGAATGGTCCAGGACGGACCGAAACGTCGTCGTCCCTTCAATTTCTAGTGTGTGGTTTGGTCAACTTACTTTAGCCACGTTATTGTGACTCATCGCCTGTATATGTCTAATATTTTTCATCTCTTGGGAAGTAATTGAAAAAATTAACTCTCCAAAGGTCTTTTTATGATCTTATTGGGCATGACTCATGTCGTAAATAAGGCATTTCGATAACATTTTCTTCAGCATCTTCGGAGGCAGAATGAAAATGGACACAATTCAGCATGAGACAGTAGAGGTTCCCTGTGTTGAGGGGAGGTGACGTCCCTCGCAGTTGATTGATTGATGAAGATTAAGCCACTTCAAGAGGTGGCACGGGCATGAATATCCCATAATTGCAGATCACACAGTCTGTTGTTATTGTTGTTTCAGATTTAGCTACTCAGAACGAAGTGTCCATGTAGCACGGGCTAAGGTGAGCCCGTGAAGTAGTGCGGGCTAAAGGTGTTTATATACCACATCTGACCACAGGGTCAGTCCAGAGTATTAGTTGGTCCTGTAGCACAGTAGTCTACGTCTTGTGCTCACAACCTAGGGATCTGGGTTCTGTCCCTGGACAGGACAGAAATGATTGGTCACGTTCACCTAGCAGTAAAATGGGTACCCGGGAGTTAGGCAGTTGTTGTGGGCCAACCCGTTATCTTGAGTTGAGTTGATTTCGGGGCTTTAGTGTCCCAGCGGCCCGGTCCTCGACCAGGCCTCCACCCCCAGGAAGCAGTCCGTGACAGCTGACTAACTGTCCCTCAAGGGACAGTTACAGCTAACTGTAACTCAAGGGACTCCCGTCCCCAGATCAAGTCCATTCCATCCAGCGGTCGACCCCCAAGACGCATTCATCAATTTTAACATGCTGTTCTTCAAAACTGGATTTTCTCAAATATAAATTAATATTAGTATACACTGTATTAATATTATTAATACACAATACATTATGTGTATTAATATGTGTACATATTAATACATAATACATTAATATATTATACACTGTATTAATATTATTAATACACAATTAGTATTATTATACACTTATAATGTATATTATAAATTAATATACATTATACTTGTGCATATTTAGGCATTGGTTAGGTTAGGTTAGGTTAGGTGTTTAGGTTCTGTTGGCGATTATTTGTATTTGTAGTACGTGGGTGAAGCATTTACAGCGTTGTAGTTCGAACAAAAAGTCGTCAGCGAAGCACTTGTTCCGGAAGTGTTCGAACGTCATCAGTTGTGAGTCGTGTGTAAACCGTTTTTCACTCATAAACTGGGGGGTTTGGCGGGTGCATGGAATGGACTTTGGCCTTTGTTTATGTGTGGAGTGCATCCTGGGGAAAGTTCAGTAGTTGACTTAGCGGAAACCTTAATAAGAATGTGTGCAGTCTTCCTGTCCCAGACGCAGGGAGAGTCACTCATTCTTCAGAACACGAAACACTGATAACTAAGAACACGTAGAAAGGAAGGAAGGAACTATCAAGGGAAAGCGCCAAGCCATTACGACTATATAGCACTTGGAAGGGGTCAGGATAAGGGTTGGGGATGGGACGGGTGGAAGGGAATGGTGCCCAATCTCTTGGACGGTCGGGGATTGAACACCGACCTGCATGAAGCGAGACCGTCGCTCTACCGTCCAGAGCGGTAGAGTGCTTACCTTCTCAGACATTTTCCTGTGTGTAAGTTTAAATTATAAAAGGGGTGACGCCGAGGAAAATAAGACTCGCGTCCCTACCAAAAAAAAAAAAAAAAAAAAAAAAACGACACACACACACACAGACATTTTCCTGTGTGTAAGTTCACCCCTTAATATAAACTTAACAATACACTGTAACTCAAAATTCAACTCAAACATTATTAAATGAAATAAAAATGTTACTCATATCAATATATTTAAATACCATTATGTTATGTCTAACACTATGTCTACATTATGTTATGTCTAGATAACATAATACCATTATGTTATATCTAACACTATGTCTACATTATGTTATGTCTAAATAACATAATACCATTATGTTATGTCTAACACTATGTCTACATTATGTTATGTTTAGATAACATAAAACCATTATATTATGTCTAACATTAGCGGGCGTCAGCAGTGATGTCATTAATGGTGTAATGTTATTTTATTATTTTTACCACAGACGTGGCCACACATTTACAATGCTAACCAGCATATATACATTTTCTTATGTCCTCCATGTACAGGGTGAGAGATCTGTTATCTGTTAAACATATGGTTAAGTGATTTATTGAACCATCAACCACAGAAGATGGTTGTAGTACTTTTAAAATGCTAATCTAACCTACATACATACACAGATTTACGTATGTCCTACATAAACAGTGTTCGAGGTGTATTTTTACATAGTTTCATTAATGTGGGTTTACAAAGGTGAAATACAATTTTGACCAGCTTCCACAAACACTCACACACACACTCACACACACACTCACACACACACTCACACACACACTCACACACACACACACACACACACACACACACACACACACACACACACACACACACACACACACACACACGCACACACACATGGGTGTGGTTGGCAACTTGTCTGGTGGGCGTGAGCAGTGACGTCATCATGGGTGGACACATCAGTGCCTGTGTCACAGAATTTGATTCACGGAGAACAAAATTTACTCTAAAATTACACAGTAAAGGTTGTTGAGGCTTTCGGGGTCGTCCGTATCGCGTTCCTGGTTGAGATCATCACGGTTGCTTGTGTCGGTTTTCTGTGTGTTGTCGTTTTTCTGTGTGTTGTCGTTTCCCTGAGTGTTGTCGTTTTCGTTCAGGTCACGTTTGCGTGTGATCATTTTTGGGGTGTTGTCGTGTTGGTTGAGGTGACGTTTCCTTTGACTGTGGAGTTGAGGAGTGTCGTGGTGGTGGTGGGAGCGCTGGAGGTCTCTCTGCTGCAGACGACGGTCGTGTTGGTGCTGCAGGTGAAGGTTGATGGGGTGGTGTTGCAGCTGGTCGTAAGGGAGGTCGTAGTCTCCGTCGTCCGAGTCGTTGACGCTGGTGTCGCGCGTCTCACGGCTGTCGTTCTCACTCTGTATGACAATACGAGGAAGGATTGGTGGCGGCAGCGGCGGGTGGACTAAGAAAAAACGAAACAGAATTAAGCACAAAACTATATACGTCGTGTTCATGTCTTTTGAGATAAATATAAGAACGTTATCATCCTTTTACTTAACATCGTAAACAAATTCCTTTTAGAGAGCCTCTTGCTAAAAAAAAAATTCAAAACTTTCAGTAAGATGCGAATAAAATCGTATAAATTTTAAAAAATTTATATAATATAGTCATTTATACACTTTTGTAATTGAAACTAATATAGCTTTCAGTTTATTATCAATAAAACCATCATTCCAGCCTCTTAAAAAGCAGCTGACCGATAAGAATCAACTTACTAGGCTTTTCATATACGTGGAAGAGCTGGCTTCGCCTCCCTCGGCAAAGAAACACGCTTAGGACGACCACAACGACCCCCAGCAGGAAGCAGACGATCAGCAGACCCACCAGCAGGTACTGAGACCTGCCGTAGGTGGTGTTGTCGATGGTGGTCGTGTTGGTGCTGGTGGCATTGTCTGCTGATTCATATGTGCCCGAGTGTCTGCCGTCAGGGATGGTCAGGGCTGCAGAGGTGTGGAGAAGTGCGCTTTTATTGCAAATGATTAGGAATTTTAGAATTGATTTACAAATTATTTATATTGAGAAGCATTTGACATTAGATATAGAGGAGGCTTTGACAGGCTCCTCTTTTGGTTATCTTCAACCCACCTGCTCTCTCTCACCCACCTACTCTCTCTCACCCACCTGCCTCTCACCCACCTACTCTCTCTCACCCACCTGCCTCTCACCCACCTGCTCTCTCACCCACCTACTCTCTCTCACCCACCTGCCTCTCACCCACCTACTCTCTCTCTCACCCACCTGCTCTCTCTCACCCACCTGCTCTCTCTCACCCACCTGCCTCTCACCCACCTGCCTCTCACCCACCTACTCTCTCTCACCCACCTGCCTCTCACCCACCTACTCTCTCTCACCCACCTGCCTCTCACCCACCTACTCTCTCTCACCCACCGACTCTCTCTCACTCACCTGCCTCTCACCCACCTACTCTCTCTCACCCACCTACTCTCTCTCACCCACCTGCCTCTCACCCACTTGCTCTCACACTCACCGACTCTCACCCATCTTAGTTGATTGCACTTCTGAAATCACCTCCAAAATTTTGGAATTGTGAAGTTCAGACGAGTTTTATATCTCTGGTAACCTACTTTGAGTTTATTAAAGTCGCCCATTTGGAGAAGCGCCAATTTCGATTCATGATATAACAGGTTTGGAAGTTTTATTTTCTGATTGCTGGTGCCTCGAAAGTATAGAAAATGGATATTATTTCCCTCAAACTTTGTTTTGAACTTTGCCTCAGGCAGGTTAGGGGAAGACGTCTTAGACAAAGTTAAAAAAAATGTTTGATGGAAATTGCCAATTTCTATACTTTGAAGGTACAGGCAGTCAGAAAATAACACTACTCACATAAAGTTAAAATTTGTTGATTCTGCCTGCAAAGCTGAGTAGTCTTTAGTGACAAATTTCATTGCTTTTGTCTTTAGAAAATTGTGAGTTGTGTTCTTTGTTCACAGACAGCCATCCCTTCAGACAGACAGACAGCCATCCCTTCAGACAGACATACAGCCATCCCTTTAGACAGACATACAGCCATCCCTTCAGACAGACAGACAGCCATCCCGTCAGACAGACAGTCATTCCCTCGAACAGACAGAGGCTTACCACAGATGCCTCGGTTCTTGCAGAAGGTCCAGTAGACGAGGTTCTGGCTGGAGAGTGTGACCTTGCTTACTCTGGTGAGGTCTAAGTTGACAAAGACCTTACCGTGCGGTATCATGATATTTACCGCTGTCTTTGCCACCTACGGGAGGAAGACAGAGGCTGTTATTACGGCACATATGACATAGATGTCTATAGCAAATGTTCACTTTTGTACATAGACGGCCCGCTCTTCCTGACTCTTTTTAAATCTAGGAAGATCAAGGTCACATGGAAGTACTGTAGAGGAAGAAGTGTAGTGTAACGTTGATCAAATGTTCAGTTAATATCTACCGACCTATCCTCAACACCTCGCACCCAGCCACACTGATACACTCTTCCATGCAAGCCTTTCATCCTCTCCCACGTCTCCTATGACATGGGAGAGCATGAAAGGATGCCTCCATGAAGCCATGCCATACTCCATGTCTCCTCCACCCACATCATCTTCCACGGATTGAAAGCCCGCTAGGCTTGTCGAGGTCTCTCTAGCCAATGGCTGACTATTTCTACCAAGGTGCATCCCATTAGAGTACAGGTACTCCCAGGTGTTTATTTACTGCTAACTGAACCTCTCGTCCACATATGGAGACCTTGGACAGGCCGAAGGCTTCCTGTCCTCGTCGAGGCCACTAGAGTGTTAGTGGCCCTCAGGTAAATTCAGATAAATATTATTTTTCACATCACGCTATATTGCATCATATAGCCTCTTCCATATCTTCTCCCACACCCCCACAGCCTCACCCACACCCCCACAGCCTCTCCCACACCCCCACAGCCTCTCCCACACACCCACAGCCTCTCCCACACCACCCCCCACTGCCTCTCCCACACACCCACAGCCTCCCCCACACCCCCACAGCCTCTCCCACACCCCCCACAGCCTCTCCCACACCCCCACAGCCTCTCCCACAACCCCACAGCCTCTCCCACACCCCCACAGCCTCTCCCACACCCCCACAGCCTCTCCCACACACCCACAGCCTCCCCCACACCCCCACAGCCTCTCCCACACACCCACACCCCCACAACCTCTCCCACACCCCCACAGCCTCCCCCACACCCCCACAGCCTCTCCCATACCCCCACAACCTCACCCACACCCCCACAACCTCTCCCACACCCCCACAGCCTCTCCCACACCCTACAGCCTCTCCCACACCCCCATAGCCTCCCCCACACCCCCACAGCCTCTCCCATACCCATCACAGCCTCTCCCACACCCCCACAGCCTCTCCCACACACCCACAGCCTCACCCACACCCCCACAGCCTCACCCACACCCCCCACAGCCTCACCCACACCCCCACAGCCTCACCTCACACCCCCACAGCCTCCCACACCCCTACAGCCTCATCCCTACACCCCCACAGCCTCTCCCACACCCCCACAGCCTCATCCCTACACCCCCACAGCCTCTCCCACACCCCTACAGCCTCATCCCTACACACCCACAGCCTCTCCCACACCCCCACAGCCTCTACCACACCCCCCACAGCCTCTCCCACACACCCACAGCCTCCCCCACACCCCCACAGCCTCTCCCACACCCCCCACAGCCTCTCCCACACCCCCACAGCCTCTCCCACACCTCCACAGCCTCTCCCACACCCCCACAGCCTCTCCCACACCCCCACAGCCTCTCCCACACCCCCACAGCCTCTCCCACACCCCCACAGCCTCATCCCTACACCCCCACAGCCTCTCCCACACCCCCACAGCCTCTCCCACACCCCCACAGCCTCTCCCACACCCCCACAACCTCTCCCATAGTCCTCACCGGTTGAGAAAGGTAGCCAACATGCCACACATCGGGCTGAGTGATGGTGAAGTTGGCCAGGTAGTTCATCATGCTGGTGAACTGTAGACTGACATTGGTATTGGGATAGTGAGTCCAGAAGTAGATGTTGTATTCATCTACTGCCTCATTGAGTCTGTATTTAATCGCTGATCCTGGACGTGTCATCACTGAACCGTCTGCAAGGAGAAATAGAACAGGTAAGAAATTATTATGGTCATACAGTAGGATCGAACCTGCGTCTCTGGACTTCCCAAGCAAGTCCAGAGCTAGGTGATTAATCCCATTTTATAGTAACAGGTAAGTTGAATGTTTGTGTGTATATGTGTTCTTACTTCTGCTCCCGTTGGCTAAGTTTTAGCTGCATGTTTTAATTAATTACCTCCTGTAGGGACGCGGCAAGATTTTATCGTGTATATTTTGTTTTCAGAAATGTTATTTTCATTGTACATGGTTGGGCTTCTTGCTTCAGCCATGTGGTTGGATTAGTTGCTTCAGCCACGTGGTTGGATTAGTTGCTTCAGCCACGTGGTTGGATTAGTTGCTTCAGCCACGTGGCTGGGTTAGTTGCTTCAGCCACGTGGTTGGATTAGTTGCTTCAGCCACGTGGTTGGATTAGTTGCTTCAGCCACGTGGTTGGATTAGTTGCTTCAGCCACGTGGCTGGGTTAGTTGCTTCAGCCACGTGGTTGGATTAGTTGCTTCAGCCACGTGGTTGGGTTAGGTGCTTCAGCCACGTGGTTGGGTCACTTGCTTCAGTCACGTGGTTGGGTCACTTGCTTCAGTCACGTGGTTGGGTCACTTGCTTCAGCCACGTGGTTGGGTCACTTGCTGCATACAGTGCTAAACACACAAATAAGTAAACGGATCAAAACATGGTCGGTCCACCGACCGATGAACCAAACGTCTTTTTGTTATATTTTGCGTCTAATTACCCTATCGGATGTGATGGTATGGTAAGATAGACTATTTACCGTTGATAGACATAATGAAATCACTTTTAAGTGGTTATTTATCACGACTTGATAATGTCGACGTGATAATGGTATGGAACGGAACGTCATCGTCGACAGAACGGAACGTCGTCATCGTCGACGGAACGGAACGTCGTCATCGTCGACGGAACGGAACGTCGTCAGGTAAGGTTAGGTTTAACTGGGTTAGGTTTTGTCTGATCTAACCCTACTAGTTAACCCCAGCCCATCCTAAAACCATAGTATTTATAGCAACCATTTAGTCAAACGTAAACAAATTGACTATTGGACCGAAAAAAAAGGTTCACGTATTGTATTTTTAAATTAGCCCAAATTACACTAAAAAACTGGAAATTTAACTCAAGAGCCTAACCTAACCTGTCCCAGCAATTCAAGGCCTATCATAGGCTATCTTAGGCCGAATTTAGTACAATGTTTAAAATTGTTTTTTTGGCTTTTTCCGTTCCCTCTACAAACTTAATAATCCAAATGTGAAAATGGCTGCAACAGTCCATTTTTATACGTTAGACCAAATTATAAAAAACTAAATACAGTATCTCAAAACTATTTAAACCCCTAAATATGTACATTGATAAGACGCCTAAATATCTTAAAATTATATAAACACTAAATATCTACAAGATAAATAACCTATAATCTCAAAAATACAAATTGCTTGACATCCTTGGATGAATGAGAGGATTAAACGACCCTGTCACCTTGTTGCGTTGTTATGACGAGGTTGATGGTGAGTGACAGGAAGACAGGTGCTAGGTAGATTAAGGACACCATTTTCTATGTTTTTCTCTTTCTTGTCGCACTTTTGGAGATATTGTAGGTGTTGGAGGTCTCCTTGTAATGAGACCTGACGACACTGACCACCACTTCTGGTTTCAGCACCGTTTTCTAGTTCAACACATCACTGGTCTTGTAAATCCACAGAATGCCTTCAGGGAGCGCTCTCCTCTATTGGTGCTTGAAACTCTAGTATATGTAATCGTGTTCACTCCACAGGTGTTCTCACTAAGGACCCCGTTAGAAGTTCTATTCTCAAAAAAAAGTCCTGGTTCTTTTTTCTGAAAAAGGATTGTTCCTCCTCAGGTTATTTCTACAAGATATTTTCCTTTCCCTGCACGAATTGCAAGAATTTTCACCAGCTGATGTGCAAGCATCACCTCTCGAAGGAACGCTCTCGGAGACACTATTTAGGACCAGCACCGAGGTTCTGTGTGACCAGGAGAGGACCGTGTGGATATCCGTAGACCAGAGAGCCTCGCATCATGTTTACTGAAACACGCTCCCCCCCCCCCCCCCCACACGTCGAGGATATCCTGTGGGGAGGGTGTGGCGCTGCTGTTTGTCCTTTTCTAGTTGATGATGCTACCAGTGTTCTACTGCTACTGTTACAAATAACACTGTTCCTGTTACTGATGATTTTACTACCGCTGCTGCTGTTCCCACCTGTAGGGCCTAGCAGATAACAAAATACTCGAGGACTCCCTTTGTATCTTAGAAGGACTCTCTTGTATCTTGGGAAAGACACTCTTTTGTCTTTGAAAGGACTCCCCTGTGTCTTTCGAAGGACTCCCCTGTGTCTTTCGAAGGACTCCCCCTGTGTCTTGGAAGGAGTCCCTTGTGTCTTCGGAAGGAGTCCCTTGTATCTTAGGAAGATCTCTGCTTTTATCTTGGCTTCTGACGTCAGTGTTGTGACTGGGATTTCTTGGGTATTGTTTATGTAATGGAATTTTATAGTGTAGAGAAATTGTGCAGTGTAGAGTAGACGAATTAGTCAAGAATATTGGATTTGTGTATGCGTAGCTACTTAAATACATATACATAGTTATACAAATACTATACATCATATTTATAGGCTATACACTCTCAATCTCTCTCTCTCTCTCTCTCTCTCTCTCTCTCTCTCTCTCTCTCTCTCTCTCTCTCTCTCTCTCTCTCTCTCTCTCTCTCTCTCTCTCTCTCTCTCTCTCTCTCTCTCTCTCTCGTCCTTCTGTATACATCTCCTTAGCAGCGAATTAACTAAAGTTCAGGACGGCCGGACGGTGTCACTATCTTTTCATATGACTGGGTCGAGTTAGTTATTTTCAGTCAAGGTAGTGTGACTTTTTCTCTGCCCAAGGCACAGAATATACTCAGAAGTGAACCACTAAGACAAAGTACATACTGAGATGTGAACCACAAAGACAAGTGTTGTTCTGAGAAGTGCAACAGTAAGGATGTAGATACATAAATGTTCTCTGTGTGTTCTTCATATATATATATATATATATATATATATATATATATATATATATATATATATATATATATATATATATATATATATATATATAATATATGTGTGTGTGTGTGTCTGTACTACATGATCACTTCTCCATCCCAATAATTACATATTTCTTTACTTTACATATAGCTAGCACACAAAACAAGACAGCAATGAACACAATAATAAAGTTGTTTCGATTAAGTACATAAAGATTGGGAGATTGGAGTACACTAGATACAAAGCAAATTTAAAGCTCTGTAAATTCACAGATTAAATTTACAGTAAATTAAATTCACAGTAAATTCATTAATACAGAGGTCAACTTCTTGCTAGTCCATCACTACATAAATGGGACTTTCGACGAAATAGTCACTATAAGTACTTTCATTTTAGGAGGATGGGCGCTATCTTAATGATAGTCCCTAAGAACTATACTGGGAACCACCTGTGGACATCCTTAAGTCCCCCCAACGGACGCGTTCTTCTATATTTAAAGCGCTGTTTCTTTCATAGAAAACGGTATTTGTGGGGTAACTCTTGAGTTTGTTTGTATTGCCTCTACGGTCTACATGTTACTTTCATGTCTAGACAATGAGCTCAGACCATCCTCCTGTTAATTTAGTACGATGTGGACGATTGTACATATATTGACGTAGTGGACAATTTCAAAGTAAAATTTGGTACTAATGAATTTGAACAAACAGAAAAAGTTGTGTATATATGTTGCTAATAAAACCTAATCTAACAATCATAGGCCTAATAAACGCTATCTGAGGCTTAATATAGTACATATATGTGCTATACAAGGTCTAGGAATGTATAAGTTTGTGTTTGAGCTTAATTTTCCCGGACTCCATAAAGCGAATAGTACTAAATTCTACTATCTAATTATCCATTACTTCAATATGTGTACAATGGTCTAAATAATGACCAGACCACACACTAGAAGGTGAAGGGACGACGACGTTTCGGTCCGTCCTGGACCATTCTCAAGTCGATTCGAGAATGGGCCAGGACGGACCGAAACGTCGTCGTCCCTTCACCTTCTAGTGTGTGTGGTCTGGTCATCATACTTTAGCCACGTTATTGTGACTCATCGCCTGCATATGGTCTAAATAGTTACAAACATAATATCTAGGATGGGTTGGTGAGCGTTACATATGATTTGGTGGCTATTAGTGGCCTGCGATTTCAGTCACCGTAGGCAAATCTTACCACATAAACCACACGTGACCCGAGGCCCTGGCTTCAGGTCACGTTGTCAGCGTCGGAGCGGGAATGGTCCCCGCCTGACCTCGTGGATCAGGTCCCGGCCATACCGAGTTACAGCCCCGCTCCTGTGCCAGGTAAGTCCACAACTGGCTCACCATAGCCCGTGCTACTTGGAACATTTTGTTTCAAGTAGCGAATCTTAAACAACGACAAACAACCCGGTCATACGTACATCGCCTAGGCTCCTCCCGTTGCCATCACAGCCCCGCTCCTGTGCCAGGTAAGTCCACTACGGGCTCACCATAGCCCATGCTACTTGGATCTGTTTGTTGCACTCGACGGAGCCTAGTATCTCAATTTCGGTTGATAGCCTCATCCAAACCAATATATATGAATAATTGTTTACCACAACTAGTGTTTATAATGTGTATTCAGTTTGAGTGTATACTCTTGAATACAAACTGTGTATTAAGTTTGAATTCAAGAGCTAGGCAGGCATCCAGAGAGCATGAAGAACAGAAATACACTAGCGTATACAATATTTTAATAATGAAACATACTTTATACATGGGGGGGGGGGAAGAATTCCTCACTAGCGAGTGACGGCCAAAAGGGTCAATCTAAATCAATCTGGTCATATTTAAGTAGCCAGTCTCCTTCAGAGCATCATGGAATTCTACTCGACCAGTGAAATTTAATTAAAACCGGCTCAAAGCGTAGGCTACTACAAAATGTTGAGACAACCTTTTAACTTCTTTACATCAATATTTATCACAAGGCTCGCCACGTTCTCTCAAGCATTTTCAACGTCACTAAACTAATGTATAAATTGCCCGAACCTAACCTAACCGAAGACTTACAAAAGTATAATGGGATATTACATGAATTTTGCGCGCCACTGTGATTTATAATACATCAGTTTTTGGCCTTAGGGGATTTGTACGTCAAAATGCGATATTTTATTTCAGAGGACGGGTTGCTCCACGAGTGATTAGGCCTCAAAACGTTATTTCCCTAAAATTAATCTCACAAATTGTAGCATTTGCAAAGAAATATCGTAATCAGGAAAATCACCTTACAATGTCGCTTAAAGCATATACATGATCACAAGACACTAAACTTCTATATGTGCTTTGGAGCAGCCTACAACTATGTAAGGAGAGTAGGATAAATTTAATCAAGCAGGTTTTACAACTGGCGCTCTGCCGCCGTTGCTCGCTTCCTTCAGAATTATACAATGTAGACCTGCATCTCATCTACCTGCTCCTCACCTGTTCCTCCGTTCCTTGTGTCTTGCAAGGAATTCATCTTGAAGCTTCGGCCTCGTACTTACGCTCTTGTCCACACGCTGCTTCTACTAGCGGCCGAGTAATAGTGAGGACTGACTGCAGACAGTTCCTGGCCCTCCTTAACATGAGGCTGCCGTCGAAACTGTTTTTCTGCGGGGAAAATTTTAAATCGTGGCTACCAACAACTGTGATCCATTCTTTCACTCCTCAAACACTAACTCAGGATGTTGCACTATTCCACTCAATTGAGTTAAAAACTTTCGCTCGCCCTACAGGAAACTAGCTTGCCCTCTCGAACATTCACAACGTCACTAAACCGATGTACAAAATTACCTGAACCTAACCGAGGACCTACGAAAAAACGGACATCACGTCAATTCTGCAAGCCGCTATGATTATTAGAACATCAGCCTTAGCCTTAGGGAAGTTATGCGTTAAAATGCGATGTATTATTCCGAAAGGGGAGTTAAACGATATCAGAACGTCACTGATTCTCAACTACTATGCAGTGTCCCTTCACACAGGCTCACCAGGCTTCTGCTACCGCACCATACTGCTGTCAGTAGACAATTTGCTGCACTGCACTCAGGAACTTCACTGCCTCACTGTAAGTGGAGTACCTCAAGGCTCTGTCCTGGGACCTCTGTTATTTATAATATGTATAAATGATTTAGATTCAGGTTTGAGCAACAATATTTGCAAATTTGCCGATGATACAAAAATCGGGAGGGGAAATAGACACGAATAAAGACTCTTATCACTTCAAGATGATCTAAATAGGGTTTTGAAATGGCCAAAAGATTGGCAGATACAATTTAATGCTGACAAATGTAAGGTTTTTGAGGCTAGGTAATGACGATATAGTTACAAGATACGAGCTAGATGGTGTTGAGATTGCGAAATCGGATTGCGAAAGGGAGTTACGATAAGGAAGAATTTAAAACCAAAAAAATCAATGCATAAATGTTCGTAATAAAGCAAATAGGACACTGGTATATATTTATCGAAGCGTTAGAAATAAGACCCCTGGTGTTGTTCTTCAGCTATATCCTGCTCTTGTTAGGCCCCATTTAGATTATGCAATTCAGTTTTGGCCGCCATACTGTAGAATGTATAAAAATTCACTAGAACGCGTCCTGCGTAGGATGACGAAGTTAATCCCGCAAATTAGAAACCTGTCATATGAAGAAAGATTGACAAAGCTTAAATTACATTCGCTAGAAAGGCGAAGAATTAGGCGTGACATGATAGAGGTGTACAAGTGGATGAATGAACATAAGAATGAAGGCAACTGCGGAAGGCTTATTGGCCCATACGAGGCAGCTCCTATTTATAACCACCCAATCCCACTCATATACATGTCCAACCCACGCTTGAAACAGTCATGGGACCCTACCTCCACTACGTTACTCGGTAGTTTGTTCCACAAATCAACAACCCTGTTACCGAACCAGTATTTATCCAGGTGTTTCCGAAATCTAAACTTATCTAATTTATACTCATTGTTTCGTGTTCTGTCTTGTATGTGGTGATCATGTCCCCCCCCCCCTAACTCTTCTGTCTTCCAGCGACGTGAGGTTTAATTCCCGTAGTCTCTCCTCGTAGCTCATACCCCTCAGTTCGGGTACTAGTCTGGTGGCAAACCTTTGAGCCTTTTTCAGTTTAGTCTTATGCTTGACAAGACATGGACTCCATGCTGGAGCTGCATACTCCAGGATTGGTCTGACATATGTGGTATACAAAGTTCTGAATGATTCCTTACACAAGTTTGTAAAGGCCGTTCTTATGTTAGCCAACCTGGCATATGCCGCTAATGTTATCCTCTTGATATGGGCTTCAGGGGACAGGTCTGGCGTGATATCAACCCCCCAAGTCTTTCTCTCTGATTCTTGAAGAATTTCATCTCCTAAATGATACCTTGTATCTGGCCTCCTGTTCCCTACACCTTTCTTCATTACATTACATTTGCTTGGATTAAACTCTAACAACCATTTGCTCGACTATTCCTTCAGTTTGTCCAGGTCTTCTTGAAGACTCAAGCAGTCCTCTGTCCTAATCCTTCAATCCACACAGTAGGCGGTGTGACGTGACAGAAGGAGGTGTGACGTGACACAAGACGGTGTGACGTGACAGAAGGTGTAATATGACAGTTCCCAAGTGGCAGATGATGATGTAACACAGCAAGTGTCGTTGTAACTGTTGTCGGCGTGACAGGTGGACTTTGGACATAGCTACGTCAAGTTCAAAACTTAAGACATACTGAAGTAGGGTTGAACTATTCTGAAAAGGACGTGGTAAGATATGCATGTTTCTTTTGTTTTCAAAGTGTAACCTTCTAAGTGACTCCACACCTCAGATCCTTATTACTCAGCTGATTTGATACAAATTGAAAAATGATGTATTGTTATTAAGAGATTGGGACCTCGAGTTGCCCTTGAAGATCAAAACAAAAAACTTCTCTTATTTCACGACAGAAAAATTTGATCAACCTTCGGTGAAGAGAAGTTGGTTATCTAGCTAAGAGAAGGCATCCCATATTTTGTATCTTTTCACGACGAAGGACCGATTATATATTTGTTCGTTGAGTATGTTATTTATCTATGGAAAAGCAATTTATGGTTTAATAAATGAATGTATTCTTGTATTAGGCATCGCTGGCAGCTACAGCAGGGTAAAGGGAGATCACGTTTTCTATATCAGTCAGTGTACCTCTGGACGTGCGTCGGGACGGTGTTCTGCGCGCGTTCTCTAGCTCCTTGTATGAATGAAATTATTAAATTACGTGCGATTTATTTTTTTTTTGCTCATTACATAAGCCATTTGAAATGTAAGGACGTGTTGGAATAGTGTAGTTTTTTACGAGGAAGGTTGAGAAAAATTTAAATAAGTCAAGAAAATCTGTAAAAAAACTATCAGGATAATTTATACCAAACGTTGAACTGTTTTCAGCTGTCTACAGTAAGTATTGGAACTTGTTTTGAGTCAATGTTGCGTATTGTAAACAAAATACTACTGTGTTTATAATCTTGTTTGAGTAGTGGTAATGGTTGTGGTGGTGATGGTTGAGGTGGTGATGGTAGTTGGTAGTGATGATTGTGGTGGTGATGATTGTGGTGGTGATGGTAATTGGTGGTGATGGTAGTTGGTGGTGGTAGTTGTGATGGTAGTTGGTGGTGGTGGTTGTGGTGGTGATGGTAGTTGGTGGTGGTGGTTGTGGTGGTAATGGGTGTGGTGGTGATGATTGTGGTGGTGATGATTGTGATGATTGTGGTGGTGATGGTAGTTGGTGGTGAGTGGACTGATAAAGTGATCGTATTGGGCCTACTGATATTGATAAAAGTCGCGACCATGGATGATACAGTGATGGTAGGGGTACAGTGATGACCGTGGCAGTGATGGAGGAAATACAGTGATGACTGTGACAGTGATGGAGGAAATACAGTGATGACCCTGGCAGTGATGGAGGAAATACAGTGATGACCCTGGCAGTGATGGAGGAAATACAGTGATGACCCTGGCAGTGATGGAGGAAATACAGTGATGACCCTGGCAGTGATGGAGGAAATACAGTGATGGAGGAAATACAGTGATGACCGTGACAGTGATGGAGGAAATACAGTGATGACCCTGGCAGTGATGGAGGAAATACAGTGATGACCCTGGCAGTGATGGAGGAAATACAGTGATGACCGTGACAGTGATGGAGGAAATACAGTGATGACCCTGGCAGTGATGGAGGAAATACAGTGATGACTGTGGCAGTGATGGAGGAAATACAGTGATGACCCTGGCAGTGATGGAGGAAATACAGTAATGACTGTGACAGTGATGGAGGAAATACAGTGATGACTGTGGCAGTGATGGAGGAAATACAGTGATGACCGTGGCAGTGATGGAGGAAATACAGTGATGACCCTGGCAGTGATGGAGGAAATACAGTGATGACCGTGACAGTGATGGAGGAAATACAGTGATGACCCTGGCAGTGATGGAGGAAATACAGTGATGACCCTGGCAGTGATGGAGGAAATACAGTGATGACTGTGGCAGTGATGGAGGAAATACAGTGATGACCGTGACAGTGATGGAGGAAATACAGTGATGACCCTGGCAGTGGTGGAGGAAATACAGTGATGACCGTGACAGTGATAATAGAGGTACATATATATTAATATTGTTAGGAAAGAACCAATTTGGGAAGAAATATTTGAAAATAATGAAAATCTCACTGCCTGTTAGGCACAGCGGGTCTTGCTTACTTGCCAAGTATTGTGGTTCTGGCAATGATACACACACACACACACACATACACACACACACACACACACACACACACACACACACACACACACACACACACACACACACACACACACACACACACACAGGCAGTGATGTGGTGGAGGCTGACTCCATACACAGTTTCAAATGTAGATATGATAGAGCCCAGTAGGCTCAGAGATCTGTACACTAGTAACTACCATTAATGTATGATGACTTACTGTAAATATATAGCCCTTGTAATAGCACTTTCTCTGTAACTAGCTGACATTGTAACTATAAGGTGTGTGAAGGATAGAAGAAATTGTTTATGTAATAATCTAAGATGAGGTCTGATAAAGACCTTTTGTGCCCTCTGTAATGCTTTTGCGCTACCGCTCACAGAATGAGTATGGGGTGCACAATAAACTAGCCGCCTTCGGCGGCAACAATAAAAAAATCAAATCAACTTAATTGACAGTTGAGAGGCGGGACCAAAGAGCCAGATCTCAACCCTCTCAAGCACAACTAGGTGAGCGCGCACACACACACACACACACACACACACACACACACACATTACAAATTATTAGGAAAGGAATTACAGAACTCAAATGAAGAACGAGACCTAGGGGTTTTGGATAGTAAGCTGTCGCCAGAAGAACACATAAAGAACATTGTGAGAGGAGCATATGCGTCGCTTTCCAACTTCAGACTTGCTTTTAATTATATGGATGGTGAAAAACTAAAGAAAATGTTCATGACTTTTGTGCGACCAAAACTGGAATATGCAGCAGTTGTATGGTGCCCAAATTTCAAGAACCACATAAAGAAACTGGAAAAGGTGCAATGGCATGTTACAAAATGGCGTCCGGAACTGGAAAAAAACAAGAATTACGAGTAGAGACTAGAGGTGTTAAACATACCAAAACTAGTAGAAGGAAGAGGTGATATGGTCACCACATACAAAATACTAACAGGAATTGACCAATTTTACAAAGAGGAATTAATGAAACCAGCAACATCACGAACAAGAGGACACTGATTCAAGCTAAAGAAACAAAGGTGGTGGAGGCCAAAACCTTCAGTAGTTTCAAAGCGTTATACGACAAAGAGTACTGGGAAGACGGGACACCACGAGCGTGGTTCTCATCCTGTAACAATACCTAGGTGATTACACACACACACACACACACATATATATATATATATATATATATATATATATATATATATATATATATATATATATATATATATATATATATATATATATATATACAGTATATATATGTGTGTGTGTGTATATAATATGTGGATTGTGGATATAAACTTAGAAGGGGTATCACCTCTGGTGCAAGTGTAGGGAGGGACCCATAGCCTAGAAGTAGAAAATAAAGAGTACCCAGAGAAGACTTTGTGGATCTCCTCACTGAACACTGATATTTTCTTCTACCACCCGTATTCTTCTAGTATGTGCATATATATCTAACTTTATTTGAAAATTTAATTACACTTATATATATATATATATACATATATATATATATATATATATATATATATATATATATATTATATTATATATATATATATATATATATATATATATATATATATATATATATATATATATATATATATATATATATATATATATATATATATATATATATATATATATATATATATATATATATATATATATATGAAACAACAAGGGACCCGAGAGCTGCAAGCTTTCTTTTCCAGCGCCTCAGTGTGGCGATACAGAGGGGAAATGCGCACTGCATCCAGGGTTCCTGCCCGCCATCTGAGGAGCTGGAGGAACTCGACAACCTATGATAACCATCTTTGTAACCCATATGTAACTCCTTTTTTGTAACAAAGTTCAAATAAAGTAAATATATATCTGTACATACAAAAGAATGGGGGTGGTAGGAGAAGATAATATTAGTGTACAGTGAGAAACCACAAGGTCTCCTCTGAATACTTTTTATTTTCTTCTCCGAGGCTATGGGTCCCCACATTGGCACCAGAGGTGGTACCCTCACAAATATATAAAAAAAATATATATATATATATATATATATATATATATATATATATATATATATATATATATATATATATATATATATATATATATATATATATATACAATGATTTCAGATAATTTAGAAAAATAAATATTGTATAGATGTTTAAGCTTGCTGATAGCCTAGTTACTGTAATTGCTGATTGTGTTGATGAATAACTATATGATCATAGAGCAATAATTATATACAGTTGGCTTATCTTAGATTACGATTATATATAAGGCCTTAGCACTACCAATGGTTATTGCTTCCTTTATTATAAATGATCATTAGTAATTATCTTTATATAATTATCTTGATGATTATTATCTCAGTCAATTAATGTACAAATTTTTACTTTGTTTTGAGGAGTTTTGTGTTTTAAAATAATTGTTAGTTGCTTATTTCTTTCTTGGAAGTTTTCGTAACTAAAATGTAAATATGCAAAGTATGAATATGCAGATAGGGATTTGTAAGTATTTAAATTAATTTTATAATTTCGGTAAAAAATAGGCTTTCTCTGTATTCTATTAAATTGTATTTAACGTTAGCTCTATGTAGGCCTGTATGAGTCTCAACCTTTGGAACATTACTTTTTCCTTGTTGGAGAGATTGCCTGCTCTGTTAGCTAGGTTAGGCCTATTGTAAATAGCCTGCATATTATTCAATGTAACCTAATTTAGGCTTAATTCTGTCCATACAGAAAACATACCTATTATAAATAATATCGTTTTAAGGAGTTTCAACAATAGACCTAGGTTAGTCTGCTTTTGTCACGATGGCTTTAAACGTAGGCTAATCCAAAGGCTGGGATTAATACATTAATACATTACGCCGTATAATACATTAATATTATACGGCGCGATTTGCCTCGTTATTACTTCACCATGTACACTATAAATTAGTCAATTACAGATGTGTCTGGTGCAGGTGGGAGGGCTTGGTGTTGTCGAGAGAGAGAGAGAGAGAGAGAGAGAGAGAGAGAGAGAGAGAGAGAGAGATGAACTGAAGTGGAAAGCAATCGGGATGAGAGTGGACGTGGGGCAGTTTTGTTAAGTATATTTCACAGGCATAATTTATATTGTTATATATGTTAGTTTGTGATATCGTGTATAGCCCAGGTTGTCTTCCCTCAATCACTCTAAACCGGTCGAATAATCTCTAGGCCTAGTTACCTGAATTTAAATCATGTAGGCCTAATAACGTGGGAGTATCTCGTTACATAACATTATTTTCAGACTTGTTTTTAATTTATGCATCCTAAAGTTATTATAACTAGACTGTTGCTATTCTTGCTTTCCACGGCAAACCTCGCTAAATCACACCACAGGACATAACCTTGCGGTTACCTCGCGATGATTTCTGGGCTCAACGTCCCCGTGGCCCGGTTCCGAAAGCAAAATAAAAGATTTTGGAGTAATCTTGTTTTAAGACCTTACTTTTAACGACCACATTAAAGTAGCTGTCACAACTACAAGAAAGATTAAAGGTTGGATAAAAAAAAAATGTTTCAAACAGGAGATGCCAGACCACTGAAGACACTTTTTAAGACTAGTGATCTCAGGAGTGCAATATTGTCGCACACTAACAGCCCCATTCAAAGTTGGAGAAATTGCTGACCTGGAGAACGTACAGAAAATATCATATATTGCCAGAATCCACTCGAGAAAACAACTAAATTACCTGGACCTAATAAAATTGTTAAATCTATATTCCCTAGAACGCAGGCGGGAGAGATACATAATAATTTACATCTGGAAAATATTAAAGGGACTAGTTCTAAATCTGCACACGGAAATAACACCACGTGAGACCAGGATGTATGGCAGGAAGTGCAAAATAGTCCTGTTAAAAAGCAGAGAAAAGCAGAGGTGCAGTTGGTACGCTGAGAGACAGTTCTATAAACATCAAGGGCCCAAGACTTTTCAACACTCCCTCGAGACAAAAGGGGCATTACTTGCCGATCTCTTGCGGTACCCAAAGGAGAACTTGACAAACGTCTTCAGAGCATACCCGATCGACCATGCTGTGATTCATATGTCTGGCTGTGATAGCTGCGTCTAACAGCCTGGTTGATCAGAATACCAACACGAAAGCCTTGGCAGAGACCAAACCACGGGGACAAACGCTGATCTTCGGACCTAACGAAAGGTGACTGAAAGGAAAGATCTTGCATCTATTACTCTGGCCACGCATGAGAGGAGATGGTTTGGTGATCACTTAGCGTACTCCCGATCATCCATGCATGGTCGGCGTTCCATTCCCAATGGTCTAAGTGGTTGGGCACTCTCTCCTCGTATCCCTTCCGAGTGCTTTATGGTCATACTGGCTTAGCGCTATCTCTTCATAATTTCCATAACGTTTGAACTCTTCTTCAGTCATGAATAACACTCACAAGAATGCCTGTCCTCTGATGGCTTAGTATTTGATTACCCTTTTTGAGAGAGCTTCCCGTAAAATACTTGGGAGGTTAAAAAGGTTAAAGGTGAAGGTAGCTCCTTTTCCGGTGTTGATGAGCCGTTTAGTTATGTGTCCTACACGGGGTGGTGGAGGCTGTGAAGGTGATGTATACATTAGTTATGTGTCCTACACGGGGTGATGGATACTGTGAAGGTGATGTATACATTAGTTATGTGTCATACACGGGGTGATGGATACTGTGAAGGTGATGTATACATTAGTTATGTGTCCTACACGGGGTGATGGATACTGTGAAGGTGATGTATACATTAGTTATGTGTCCTACACGGGGTGATGGATACTGTGAAGGTGATGTATACATTAGTTATGTGTCCTACACGGGGTGATGGATACTGTGAAGGTGATGTATACATTAGTTATGTGTCCTACACGGGCTGGTGGAGGCTGTGAAGGTGATGTATACATTAGTTATGTGTCCTACACGGGCTGGTGGAGGATGTGAAGGTGATGTATACATTAGTTATGTGTCCTACACGGGCTCGTGGCGGATGTGAATGTCACACGCACTGTCTAGTTACGTATTCTTTTCGGTCTGGTGGTGGATGTGAAAGTGATGCACCGCCAAGTTCTGTATCCTACACAGAAGCCACCTCCTCACCTAACTCGACTATAAATACGCATTATTTTGTTCTGGAAGCGGTCGATCTGACCTTGGGTAGCCCCCAGCAAGCGATCATCACCTCATTAGAGAAGATAATTGGAACGATATTTAGCAGTCTACGCAGTTCTTACCTAGATCCGGGTATTTATTTAGCCTCTTTTCTGGTGGTATTATTTTCCTTAGGCCTGAACGTTTCTCAAAGGGCCATAAGGCTAATCATACTGGCATTACAAACGTAGAAAGAATACATGTTGATGTTATCCCATCAAACTCTTTACTACAGGAATGATTTTAATTTTACATGAACATTTTGTATGAAGAGGAATGAATCCTTGTAATCGTTAGTTTAGTCATTTGTTATGCACCCCATACCCATCCCGTGGAAAGGGTTGCAGAGGCACAAAATGGGTTCAGGAAATGAATCTCGTAGTTCATTTAGCTAAGCAAGTGCCAATCTTGTAAAGCTGGTTACACACACACACACACACACACACACACACACACACACACACACACACACACACACACACACACACACACACACACACACGCAACCCCCGCAAGCACAACTAGGTGAGTACATACACACACACACTTTTTTTTTAGTATTATTATTTTCTAATACAGACGTGGCCACACATTTACAATGCTAACCAGCATATATATATTTTCTTCTGTCCTCCATGGACAGGGTGAGAGATTTGTCAAACATACAGTTCAGGAATTTATTGAACAATCAACCACAGAAGGTAATTGTAGCGCTTTTAAAATGCTAAGCTAAGCTACATAAGTAAATACATAGATACACAGATTTATGTATGCTACATAAAGCGTTCGATGTGTCTTTTACATAGTGTTATTAATGTGCATTTACAAAGGGGAAACGTAACTGATAGTACATCATTACGAATGAAGTATTTACACAGTTCTTAAACACCACTGATAGAGTCGTCTTTGAATTCAAAATAATTTATTCACACCTGCAGCATAAAATGCAGGTTGTGGAAGTTAATTTCAAACGCAATATATATATATATATATATGCCACCTTGTTGGTGTGTGCATTGTAGCAGGTGCAGACATTAGGTGGACGCGGGTATTGACTATTTAGCAGACTCTTGGTGCTGGCTTGCATATGAGATGGGATATGTGCTTACCGTAGCCTACCAAACATTCAGGGAGTTGCTACTACTGGCCGCTAGCCTAGTCTGCAGCTGTGGGGTGTCTGCGGGACTCGCCACCTCGCGTGACTGATTGGAATTAATGACAAACTTTTTCTCTCTCAGATACACTGGTTTGTATATCATTATTTACAGTGCCCCATTCACCGTTGTTCTGCAGTCATTTATTCTGCGTGTGTATTGCGTCCCTTACCACAACAATTATATGAAAAAAACAGGTGTAATTGGCCAACACTATTATTTTCAAGTGTATTAACCACCGGTCTTGACGCTTATATAGCTTTTGTTAATTGTTTTTTAAGAGCATTCTGGTAAGTGTTTCTTATGCCACAATATTCTAAGGTTAGTTAAAAGAGCTTCGCGATGTGAAAATTAATGAGTTTTCAACTTGGTCAAGGCCTTAAAAAAAACTGTTAGTTTATAGTCATTTATATTAGCATAAGTGATAGCAATATTACACCATATTTTTAGTTATATATATATATATATATATATATATATATATATATATATATATATATATATATATATATATATATATATATATATATATATATATATATATATATATATATATATATATATATATATATATATATATATATATATATATATATATGTTTATATATAAATATATATATATATATATATATATATATATATATATATATATATATATATATATATATATATATTTGTCGTCGAACATAAGCCTATATCTACTGATATGCATAAACTTACGTAATAAAAGTCTTCGTGGTAGCGACAACTCTTTATCTTGATAGGAATTATTTTTTTTGAATTGGAAGAGCACATTATTATTGTGACATTTGTATAATAAATGCTCAGTTTGTGCTGTTGGAAAATTTATGTTGTACGCCGTTTGGTGTGGGTGTGGCTTGCTGGTGTAAACACTTGTGTAGACAATGTTAGTATTGATCCGTTGAATGTGTTCTCCCAATCATTTCTTTTACCGAATTTTATAGTATGTCATCTTCGTCACGTAACTGGGCTAGTTTATGTAGGTCTACTACTAGCTGCAGATACGTTTGAACGGTAGCCTAATAAAAATAGCTACATTTAGATTTAAAAATCAATATATTTTATTCCAAGGGTGCACGTAGGTACAGCAGTGTGTGTGAGAATGATAAACAATCATGGTTTTCGGAGCATACATTTGGCATTTGGTATTTTATTTTTAGTATCCCATATTGTGCATGTTTTTATCTTTAGTGTCATTGATTTTGTCGTTACTTTTCCTTTATTTTTTATCATTTTTCATATATTTCTCGTACTACTGGAAAAAGGAAATTATAGAGCACTAAAATGATACTTTTTCCTCCCACAGGATGAGCTTGCAACACAAGTCTACGAGAATGGCATCGGCACGTGACACTCAGTCTCTGCTTTAGGGAGCCAGTTATCTCAGCTCCTATTGCCTGCTCGCCTCACAGTGCTAGGCTGCACCTTGCTCGTATCTAGGAAGTGCGATCATAGTCATACAGAGGTGCTCGGCATGTACTTCCTGGTGAGGGATAATTATGTTCTTTATCCTTGGCGACAATGAGTTGCGGATTGCGTTTAGGGAGAAGACAAAAACATGTCGCTTCATAGCAAGGAAGACCGGCCCGTTATACTCATAGCGGCCTAGGTCGCTTTGCCCAAATCACTTGAATTCTCTTAGACGATTGGCTTTGTCACCATGGACGCCAGCAATGAGTTTAAGGTCTTCCTCCCGCCCTCAAGTGGTTCCTCGAAGACAAAAAAAGGTTCAGAGGAGGGTGGGAGTGGCAGCAGTGGAGTGAGGCAGAGGCTTGTGCCTGTCATTAACAAGGTGTTCTCGCCCTCTCACTTCATGCTGGCACAGAGGAAGACCACTGTGTACAAGGCGGTCTCAGGTGTCTCTTTCCAGGATATAGACGTCGGGGGGAAGAAAAAATCTACTGGCAAGCGAGACAAGAAAAAGCCTAATAAGAATGATCAGATCTACTCGGCGGGTAGTGAAGGCGAGAGATCCCTGCCGAGTAGCAAGAGCAACAGGTCAGTGCCAAGTGGGAGCAGTACCAAGGCTTCCCCTGAAGGCAAGGGTGAAGCTCGTGGTGAGCCGAAGAAGCATCGTCATAGCATCGGCAGTCATACGGAGAGACCATCAACCTTTCTCAGCGAAAATTTAGAAAGATTTGGCTTTGGCTCAAGTGAGAAGAAGAGTCGTGTGAGGTCAGTTTCAAGAACACGTAGCACGAGTGCCACTGATAATCACTATATTACAAAGACCACTGAAATTAGCATTAACGATCCTCCAGAAAAGCCACGAAGATCACGATCAGCTTCACGCCCACATAGGTCTGGGTCAAAGGTGTCATTACCGTCGGGTAAGAAGACCAACACCAGTATGGAAACTGCCTGCAACTTCATTGACACAAAGAAGCAAGAGGATTGTCATACACAGAAGGGAAAAAATCATCAGAAGGCTGAAGGAAACACCCATAAAGATGGGTCAAATCATCAGGCTGGGGGAAGCGAAAAAAACAATGACTGTGAAATAGATGACGAAGATGCCTATGGCCGCTGTCGTGCAAGAAAATCTGACAGGAGTGGAAAGTCAGACAACTCTGGTGTCAGGAGCAAAACGGCGCCCAGTAAGCATACAAAAGATGAAAAGAAGAATGATGACGAAGAACCAGAAGGTGGGTACTTCAGCTTGGAAAAGGAAGAGAAAGGTGGTAATGAAATCAAATTCATCTACGAGGCGCTGCCAACAAATTCATGTGATGAGTATGTGGAGAATGACCAATGTGTGGAGGCCATCTACGTGTGCCAGGTGTTCAGGAAGGACACTGACAATGAGGATGACGAAGATGAGCACATCTACGAGAACTGCCAAGTGATTAGGATGACAAAGGACGGGAAGTTGATTAATGACGACGACGAAAACTATGAAAACTATCAGATTATCCGTCGTGTGAAAGACGAGGAGCTGCTTGATATACCGGTGAAGGCGACAGATGTAAACAAGCAAGACGAAGAACTATACGAGGCCATCAGCTTCGTGGGCCAAAACCCTCTGGCCTTAACACGAATGACAGCCACACAAGCTAGGCTTAAGAGGCAAAAAGAGAGCCTGCGTCCTCTTGGCTCCATCGATTCCATCCCTTTCATCGATGATAGTGACAACTCAGCAGATGAGAATGAATGCAGAAACTCCGTGTCTGTAGACTTGGTTCCTCAAGGTAATGTCACTGTTATTACCATTAAAGAAGGCGATGGTATGGAAATTACGCAGAAGGTAACCCCTCTGCGAACAAAGCCTCTGCAGCTTCGTCCCCAAGATGGGCCCCAGGATCCGCCAATTGAAGCTAATAACGACGTTAACCTGCCCAAAGAAAGATCAGAGGGAACAGAAAGCAATAGCGGAGAGATGTCTAAAGTGACGCTCTCGGAGACTCTGACACCTAAACGACCAACCAGGTACTCCTACCCTGCAGTCTCGCCCTTTATTCCGAAATTGTGCGATAAAATCGGCTTCAAGTTGGCAAGATTTTCTTCCCCTAGTGAGGAGGCAGGAAGGCCAGTGAATTCGGATGTAGGGAGTAAAGTTGAGGTGAAAGTGAAGAAGAGCATGAGTCATAATGATGTACAGACTCACCTCAAGAATAAAGGCAGTGTGGTGGTTCTCTCTGAATCCTTCTCCGACGATGATATCAGACAGAATGAGGAATTTGAATCATTCTCTGAAACAGACTCTGATCTAGATAATCTGGATTATGACATGTTCGCCCCAAAGACAGGGAAGGCTGGTGGACATAGATCCCCTCTCAAGAACAAGAAGAAGCCCCGGACAAGATCACTTTCTGCATCGCATGCAAGTCCCAGGATATCCATGCCGAACAGAAGATGCTCTGACATAAGTGGTATGTGCCCAGTAGGTGACTCTGATGCCCCAAGTGATCTCCAGTCGCCCAAGACCTTTCAGGACCTTCTTGGAGACAGGTACCTAAACCCACCAGAGACTGAAGTGGACTCCCAGTCTGCAGATGGGTTAAGGCTGGAAAAGATGGCTCCTTTGATGATTCGGGAGACTAGTGAAATCGCTGTGCGGGGTCACCGTGATGTGGTGTTGAGTCCCGCTAGTACTAAGAGCACAGAGATTCAAGCCGGAGACCAGGTCATTGTCGACGACACCCTCTCCTTTACATGGTCCGATGCAGAGAGTGAGTTCGAATTCATAGATTTTAACAAAGTGGAACCACCGAAGACTTGTGTGGTGTTTCACGGAGTTACAGTAGTGTCCAGTGTCGACGCCTCTGCTGCCACTGACACCACCACCACCACTACTAGCAGTGGCAGTGCCACCGTCAGAACGGAGAGAAAGCATGGATCCTCTGTTAAAAGGGCACAAAGCATGAAAGGTAAGTAAAACTGTACAATATTATACACACACACACACACACACACACACACACACACACACACACACACACACACACACACACACACACACACACACACACACACACACACACACACACACACACACACATATATATATATATATATATATATATATATATATATATATATATATAGTATTACTGTAATTTGTGATTACTCAAATAATTAATGTACCGACATTTTGACATCTGTTCTAATATACTAGTATATAGTTGTTTATTGTAAAATAATGTAGGTGAACACCACTCTTTGATGTAAGCCAGAGAGTGGTGCTTGGTGGACTGAGAATGGCGTAAATTGAACTCAACGCAGCGTATATCGCAATAAATATGGCGTACGTCGCACTGAATAACATTCAAGCTGAACCTAGCATGGGGACACTTCAAGCTTGAAAGCTGAATGTCGAATCGAACGTTACAGATGTTGAACTGATCAGGGAGTACGTCGAACTGATCGTGGTGTACGTCGAGGTGAGAAAGGTGTACATCGAATTAAACACGACGTACGTTGAACTAAATGCTGCTGACGAGGAGCTTGATTACTCCTGACCAGTGCCAGGAGTCAACAAGGACTTATGGAACCCACACGAAACTTTTACATCTTTCTTTAATCATGGTGGCTTTGTTTACTTTTATTAAACAGTTTACGAGCTTGGAAACTTCACAACTCATGGTTATTATTGTTATAAACAACCTCGTAGGGCTTCAGAGCTTATAACCTTCAATAAATGTAAACATGCCATGATTGAGGAAAGATGTTCAGGTTTCGAAAGTGGTTGAGTAAATACTCGATGAATCCTGGTCTCATTGTCCTGATTTACAGCCTGATCAGTCAGGTTATTAGTTTTTACATATCGCTGTTTAACATAGGCATTTGCATAGTACCCTTTTTGAGCACAAAGATATATTAGTATATAATTCCACTTATATTGTAAGGTAAAGTACTGGAGCTCTTTAATCACAGAGTCTTTATAACCTGGTAGTGTAGATAATCTATCTATATTTTTCATATTTTGGCAATATGAAATTTTTGTAATCAGTTTTGTAAAAGGGAAAAATTGTTCTCTTGCATAAGCTTAAGAAGAGAATAATTGTAATCCGGAGGCGAGACAAATGCACAAGAGATGTTTCTGTAAAGATTGAAAATCTAAGATACTGTATCGGGGAAAAAAATAGATTTTATTCTATAAGATGGCTGTGGATTTTTTTTTTATTTTTTTTTAATGTGGAACCAATGGTATCAATATTTCACAGGTGCACATAATGCCTCATCTCTCACTTGTCTTACAGGGAGCAAAGTTTTGGGGGATTTTATGGCATATCTCCGTAGTTGCATTGTCTTTTTCTTGTAGTGAATAGTCTCTAGGTATTCTATATTAGGTATTTTGTCTGCCTTAAAATGAGCAGTTAAATGTGTCTCAGTAGTCCAGTCTAAAGAATACAAATGTCTACAAAAATACTTTAATTGAATTTTCTGCTCTTTTATAAAAAAATTTTGTTATCCAACCAATGGTAGTTCTTGTAAATGTGATAGCGTAGTTTCTCTAATGTGCTCTTTAAACGTAATATTTTCTGTCGTGAATACTCTTCGGTCTCTATAGTGTGGTTTGATTACCGTTTTGGGTTTATTTTAATTTTAAACATTTGTTTTGTTTCCCCATACTAAAGGTGCTGGAGTTTTTCTTGGTTAAAGAACATAGCCTATTACTTTCTGTGACCCATTGTAGGACTTTGTTTATATTATTATTATTAGTTTGTCCTCAGTAGGTGTTTCATTCAAAGATAATAGTACAGTACACGAGGAATGAAGCATTACTGCAATTTGTATCTTCCTCTATGTTATTTGAAGGAGATAGTATTGGGACGAGTACAGTAGTAGCTTCGGAGGACTAGGCTTCTGACGACGGAAGCTGTCGATTCAACTTTTTTGATTATCACTATTTGGGTTAGTTTTGATCGGAATTTGATATTATTTTCGTATATTTTCCAGTGTTGTTCTTTTATCCGTATTTTATGCTCGCTTACGCCAGGGTCACATTCCGAGACATGTTAAGGATGCTTATGTTACATCGATATTTTTGCTTGTATTCCTGGGCGTGTGAGATCTGTGTATACCCCGCCGAACACGAAACTACGACGTTCTTACCATATTCAAACCAATTGTAACACCTAACAAGTTGTAACACTCAACATAGCAAGTTGTAACAACGTTCTAACACATCTATTAAAACGTTATACCAAGATGTAACAACCTTATTACAGGTTGTAACAAGCGGAAAATAGGGACAGTTACGGTTTGTGTTTGCAGGGGATTACGCCGCCATTTCCTTGTATTCCGGAGTTTCGTTGAGCATGTTATAATATCCACCAGCTGCCAGATAAGAGCCCGTCGTCGTATGATGATCTGAGCGCGGTGTACTTAAATCCAAACATTGCGACGATGTGACGAATCGATCATGGTATCCGTCGGACGGAACACGACGCACACCCCGTCGAACTGCATTGCTTCAGTTGCAGGTGGCGTGCAATGCCTTATGCATCCAGCCGCTCAAGGTTTGAGTCTACTTACAAAAACACTTACTGCACCGCACCCAGCCTCACGTCTGACCTTCAGGAGACAGCCAGCACTTGGGAAATAAACTAGCGTCTTGTAAGTGTTAAGTATTTATACTTTTTGGGGGGCGATTTTGAAGTGGATAGGCTATAGACTTTGATCAAGGTGTGGTTACATCAGTAATTCAATTTGATGTGAGTGGATGTTTCCACCCCTAACGTCATTACTCTGTTGTTTAATCTCTTTTTTTTTTTTCTCCCCTGCTCTTCCTTTTTCGCTCTGTTCTTCCTCTTCTTTTGCATTATCTCTTCATCTCCTCTTGCTCTTCTTCCTCATATTTTCCGCCCCCTTTCATTATTTTCCTTCTTCCTCTTCACTGTCCCTGCCTTTCTCCCCCATCCTTCCCGTGTCCTTTTCCTACCTTCCTCCTAATCTCTTTCCCCCTGTCATTCCCCATTCCTTCTCCCCGTCTTTCTTCCCCCCCTTCTTCCTCCTTCCTTCCTCCCTCTTCCCTCCCACTTCCCTCTTTCTTTACCATCCCCCTGCCCTTCATCCCTCCTATCCCCCTCTACCCCTTGGCTCCTGTTCCGTGAAGGAATGTGAGTTGTGTCGTGTGTCCTCTGTGTTGCTGGCCCACCTGTCCGTGGTGTTGCTGGCCCACCTGTCCGTGGTGTTGCTGGCCCACCTGTCCGTGGTGTTGCTGGCCCACCTGTCCGTGGTGTTGCTGGTCCACCTGTCCGTGGTGTTGCTGGCCCACCTGGCCGTGGTGTTGCTGGCCCACCTGTCCTCTGTGTTGCTGGCCCACCTGGCCGTGGTGTTGCTGGCCCACCTGTTGGGTCATGGCATGTGTGAGGTATATTGTGGATCATGTGTTGTTTATCGTGTGGTATGTATCATGTGTCGTATTGCCAAGGCGTGTGTGTGCTTGTGTGTCATATTATCGCGTGTCGTGTGTATTGTGTGTCATGTGGCGTATGTCGTGGGGTGTATGTTGTGTGTATGATGGCTACTTGCTCCACCGCTTGGTAGTCCCTGGGATTAATGTCCTAAAGGCCCAGTTTCTGACCAGCTGGCTTCCTCTGCTTACTAGTTGTGGTCTGTCAGGCTGTTGGTGTTGGTGGTAATGACGATGGTAGTGATTGGGATGGTGGATGGTGATTGGGATGGCGACAATGTGATGATGCTGGTAAGGATAATGATGATTTTTTTTGTGTTGTGATTAATAGATTATCAGTTTGCGTCACCTCAGTCCCAGTGAATTTTCTCAATAATAATAAAGGTAATAATAAAAATGATAATAATCCAGCAATAACAGATAATTATAATATAATAATAATAATAATAATAATAATGACAATAATATAAATAATAATAATGATAATACGAAGAAGTAAAAGTGTAATCCAGTAGACTGGGCAGCTAATGTTGCAAATAATTTAATTGCGATAATTTATCTCTTGACAACGAAGGTTGAACGAATAATTAATTTTGGAGGTTGAGTTTGGCGTGATTATTTTCCTCTGCACTTTTGTCTCTCTTTATTCTTCTTCCTGTCTTTGTTATCGTTTGTATATTCTTTCATTTATCATGTGATTTGTCTCTATTGTCTGGTGTTAATCATGTGGTTTGTGTTTGTATAATCCGCCGTTATCATGTGATTTGTCTCTATTGTCTGGTGTTAATCATGTGGTTTGTGTTTGTATAATCCGCCGTTATCATGTGATTTGTCTCTATTGTCTGGTGTTAATCATGTGGTTTGTGTTTGTATAATCCTCCGTTATCATGTGATTTGTCTTTATTGTTTGGTGTTATCATGTGATTTGTCTCTATTGTCTGGTGTTATCATGTGTTTTGTGTTTGTATAATCCGCCGTTATCATGTGATTTGTCTTTATTGTTTGGTGTTATCATGTGATTTGTCTCTATTGTCTGGTGTTATCATGTGTTTTGTGTTTGTATAATCCGCCGTTATCATGTGATTTGTCTCAATTGTCTGGTGTTATCATGTGATTTGTCTCTATTGTCTGGTGTTATCATGTGGTTTGTGTTTGTATAATACGCTGTTATCATGTGTATAGTTTCTTTTATGCCCTTGTGTATTCCAAAAGTACAAATCGTGAACTTTTTGCGAACTGTCACTATACATTCTATCATTGTAGGAAAAATTGATTTTATTAATAAATAGTCTCCGTGTTGAACCCAATTCGCTTATGTACATTAAGTCAGGTTATATGTGTGTGTGTTGACAGTGTCCGTCCATGTGGGAGAGTACTGGAGGTACCGGTAAGACCAGTTTTACCCTCCGACATTGTCAGGTGGCTACAGCCCGTCTTGTCAACTAATAGGTCGCATTTTTCACGTTATGGTAATAGCGTAACAAATGCAGCCTAATGTGTCAGATCACG